GGCTCTGGGACTGTAGCTCTCTCGGGCAATAGTGTGGTTTGGAGGTGTGGGACTGTGATGTATTGGGCAGTGCTTTGTGTGCTGTTGCTGCCTGTGTCTTCCCCTTCCCTCTTGCCTGCCTCTCCCTGCATCAGCCTGCATTTGTAAAATGAAATAAATATTGACACGGATGGGATGCTATTCAATTTGTCCTGATCACTGGGCTGCAGTGAGTTCTGACAGAGCACAGTGTAAAACATAAGCTCACGATGTAATTTCTACTGTCAACATGATGTACAGTATGGCTGTGCCAGATACACACTGGCAAACTGTACAAGCTCTTGTAGGGAGGGAAGGGGGGAGTTGTGCTGATAATTGGGAAGCAGAATGACAGCAGCAGGAGAGGCAGTGTTGGGTTATACGTGGGTGGTGTGGGGCTGGTGCTCCATTGCCTGGCACTGTGAGTGCTGGGCTTGCTGCCATGGGGTGCCTGTGTGCAGTGCACCCACAGATGCGTGCTGCTACCTGCTTCGGATGCTGTGCTGTGGCTCTGGATGCAACTGCAGCTTCCGCTAGTTATTTATGGCTCCACTGCTCACGTGTAGCAGAGAGAAGTGGCATTTCCAGCTGCTGGTGAAAGGTGTTCAATAACATAGGGAAGTAAATGTTGTGTGAGTCTTGATTCCTGTGCACGGGATTTCTGTGGCTCTTTGCAGCCTTGGGGTACTTTGAATCCTGTTGCTGCAAAGACACAAGCAGGACTTGGGGCTCTTGGGTCTGCTGTGCCTGGAAGAGTTCTGTCATGTGACAGCCAGAAAGAAAGATGCGCACACTGAGAAGAGACATGACACTGACCCTTGCTCTGGCCTGAAGCTATGACAGAAGGCAAACAGGCTGAGAATTTATGGGTGGAGAAGAATTTGGCTTGTGTCAGAGCCTTGCCACAGATGTGTCCCTGGGTCATTGTTTCTAGGTAGCTCTAGGCACAAAGGGAGTGCACTCTGGGTTGCATGGAGCTCGCAGTAGGTTGTGCAATGGGCTGTGCAGTCTGGTACCTGACTGTCTCAGAGGCAAACTGGGTACACCACCCCCATTGCTGCCCATAGGAAGAGCATGAAAAGAGCTGAGAGTGAGCTTTGGACTCATGAGACAGCCACCAGCAAACCACGTTAGTTCAGACGAAGCAGCAAGATGAGAAATGTGCTAAATGTAATAAACACAAGGTTGTGGTTCCCACAGCAACGCAGCCCAGCCCGTGTTGGACCAGCTCAGCAGGACCCTCCTCCCGTGGCAGTGGCTGCTCTGTGGAGTGCTCGGATGCAGCAGGGCTGAGCAAGTTGCCTTGGGAACTGTGGGCCAGGCTGTGCCCAGCCAGGGAGCAGCAGCTCTGCTGCAGCTGTGCTCACCCACTGCTTCATCTTTTGCCCTGGCTTCCTCTTCTCTGCCTGGCATTAGTATGTGTATTTAAAATGGTACTTTTGGTTTATTGATACTGTTTAGGATTTAGCTACTTGCTTTTATATGCAAATAGCAAGTTAACTCCAGCAAGGCTGCAGGAAAAGGCAGAGTAAATGACTAGGGTGCCCATGCAGTGTGTGGCTGGGGTAGTCAGGCTGTGGTGGGCACTGGTGGCTTGCAGCTGCCACTCAGGTGTGGAATGTTGCGATGAGGATGGCTCTGACTGCACTCATGAGCCGGTACTGGTGCTGTCTGCAGGCTCTGTGCCCTGAGCACTGCACTGAGACTGCCAGGGCAAAGTGCTGCCTTGCCAGCCCAGCCGGGGCTGTTGGATGCTGATGCTGCTGATGTGGTGCCTGGATTTGCACCATTGGGCTGGCTTGCTTTTGGTCTCCCTGTGTATTCAGGAGGTATTCAGTGTCTGCAGAACTGCTCTCTAGCAGTAGCCCTGCTGCCTTGTCAGGCTTCTGGGAGGGCTTTATAAAGTAGCATGGAGTAGCCTGGATGGCAAGGAGAGGGTGTCAGGGTGCGAGAATTCAGCAACTGGTGACTGCCTCTCCCTAAGGCTCTGTTTACACAGTAGTCACTGAGAACATGTGCAAATGGACTATTTAAGTTCTCTTTCTAGTAGTTGCATTTACCAAGTACAACTCATTTGTACCCTGACTTCAGGCACATCTGGGGGCATTGCCTGAGAAAGTGCTGCTGAGTAGCAAAGGCAGAGATGCTGGATATGGTGTTTTTGCCACACTTAGTCTTTGCCCTGAGTGCTGGCCTGAAGCTTTTGCTCTGGCTTGGCTTGTGCTGTTTGGCTTATTGACATCTCTCACTGCCTGGGGAACTTTCTCCAAAATAGCCACAAATTTCCTAGGTGTGAGAAATGGGAGAGATGCTGTTTGCGGCAATGGTATGCTGTATCTTAGAATCATAGAAAGGGTTGGAAAGGACCCATCTAGTTCCAATCCCCCTACTATGGACAGGGACACCTTCCACTAAACCATGTTACCCAAGGCTCTGTCAAACCTGTTCTTGAACACTGCCAGGGATGGAGCATTCACAACGTCCCTGGGCAACCCATTCCAGTGCCTCACCACCCTGACAGGAAAGAATTTCTTTCTTATATTTAACCTAAACTTCCCCTATTTCAGTTTTAACCCATTACCCCTTGTCCTGTCACTGCAGTCCCTAATGAAGAGTCCCTCCCCAGCATCCCTATAGCCCCCCTTCAGATACTGGAAGGCTGCGATGCGGTCTCCACGCAGCCTTCTCTTCTCCAGGCTGAACAGCCCCAACTTTCTCAGCCTGTCTCCATATGGGAGGTGATCCTGCCCCTCTACTCTGCTCTTGTGAGACCTCACTTGGAGTATTGTGTGCAGTTCTGGTGTCCTCAACATAAAAAGGACATGGAACTGTTGAACCAAGTCCACAGGAGGCCACGAGGATGATCAGAGGCTGGAGCACCTCCCGCCTGGTGGTTGCGCTCCTTTTGATGCAGCCTAGGATACGGTTGGTTTCTGGGCTGCAAGCGCACACTGCTGGCTCATGGTCATTTTCTCATCAACCAGCACCCCCAAGTCCTTCTCCTTGGGCTGCTCTGAATCTCTTCTCTGCCCAGCCTGTAGCTGTGTCTGGGATTGCTCTGACCCAGGTGTAGGACCTTGCACTTGGCATGGTTAAACTTCATGAGGTTGGCATCAGGCCACCTCACAAGCGTGTCAAGGTCCCTCTGGATGGCATTCCTTCCCTCCAGCATAGCAACTGAATCTTGTTATATGTATTTCTATATATCCATGTAAGCCTCATAAGTAGGTTTGTATGTGTCCTGTTATTGTCAGTATCTGTTGCTCTGAAGCCAGCTGCGGGTGGGCAGCCTCACCTCCATTGCTCCAGGGCAGGGACCTTCATATCTGTGTTTGATCGATAAAGGCTGCGGTTGCTTTACCCTGTGAGACTTCTAACAGCAGGATGGAAAGACTCAGTCCACACTCATCAACAGGCCACCTTGCTCCCCTAGGTGTAGCCTCCAATGGGAAATGTCTGATGATGGGCATTCTCACCAGATTGGCAAGACTGGCCCTTCAGGAGCAGTGGCAGGAATGGATTCTGCAAGGGGAGGACTGACTGAAAGAGGGATTCATGCCGTTGCCAACAACCTCTTATGGCTGGTGTAGAGATGTCTTAATAGCAAACAGTCTGTGAAGGAAGAGGGGTGGGGAGGAATGTTGGTGCTTCTGTACTGTGATTGCCAAGATAAAAATATACTGGAGACCCTGTGCTCATTGGAGCATGAAGTGCACAGGGATTGCACATGCTACAGCTGATGCACACGTGTGTGTGGAATTAGCATGTGTACCTGGAGGGCATGTGTACACCCACTTAAGGCACAAAACAGAAAAGAGTGCCAATGTGTGTGAGTGCTATTAGTTGTGCATGGTGTAGAACATGAGCGCGAGCCTTGTGTGTAAATAGATCTGTGCACACCGCGTGACACACTACTTGCAAAAAGGCAGTGTGGAATGATGCCTGGCATTGATGCCTCATGTTTCTCAGCGTTTGTTCAGACGGGCAGATGCAGAGATGTCAGTGTAGCTTGCTGGATGCTTTGGGAAACTGCCCTGCAGTCACACCATGCATATGGCAAGTGCAAGGAAGAGCTGGGAAAATACTTGCGAGCTGCCCCTCCTCTAAACTGCTGAGGTTGTTCAGAATTATACAGAGGGCTGTGCGGAATAGAATCCAGTTCCCCTTCTATGAGGAGTAGATGGATATCTACTTCAGAAGCATCCACCTTTCCATTCATCCTCTTCCCCATCCTATTTAGAGTAACAAATGTTGAGGAGATCAGCTCTGCAAACCAATGAAGATATTTCATGAGTGGTTCTGGCTGTGACTGGTGTCGCTGAGCTCTGGTGGAAACTCAAGGTGTTGTTTCAGGGAGAGATGGATGCTGCATACCCATCCCCATGTCCTGGTCAGGCCTCTTCTTCCCAGGTGCTCACTGAATGCAACCTAACCTTGGCTACAGGTCTCATGTCTTTATCCTTAGTGCCTTGTGGGTGGCTTGAAGCTTACTTCACAGCCCTTCCTTACACTGTTAAAAGTCAGGCAGGTGGTGAGCCAGCATTTCCCAGTGTCAGGTGCTGCTATCCCCAGCATGAGGGACTGGTGTGGTCTGGCTCTGTGCAGGCAGCAGCAGCTCTGCCATGCCAGGGTCCTGCCCACACATCTCCCACCAGTACGAGCAGTGGTGATCTGCTCTGGCAGCAGACTGCGCTCCCATCCTCAACCAGGGCAGCATGGTAAGGAGGCACCTGTGACAGGGGCACCTTGGTCTTGGAGCTCTTGCTGGAGCAAGCAGACATCCATAGTGCTGCAGAACCTGCTGCAGTTCTATGCGGTTCTGCCCTCCCTTCCGGGGTATCTGCTCTAACGGGGGCTGGGCTCTGTGGTGGGGCATCTGGAGCAGGGCAGGGTGGGACACAGTGACCAAGGCTGCAAGCAGCAGCACGGTGGGGCATGGAGACCTGCTCTCACAACAGCACTGACACCTTGGTCTTTTCCAGGCTCCTGTGGATGCTGCCGGCTACCCTGCACCTCCCTGTGTGAGCCAGCAGATGATGGAAGTGACCGCCATCAGCTGGGCAAAGGACCCTTTGCAAGGTGCTGGAATATCATCTCCGAAAGATGGGAGTAACAAATGGGCTTGTGAACTGCACGTGTGACATAGGCACCTCTGCTGCCAGAACTCTCGTGCAGTAGCCCAAGGCCAACAAAGAACAGGCAGACGCTGGCCACAGCAGCTCATCCCGGTAACTCCTCTGCGAAACTGTGCATGGAGAAGCTTCTCTTCCCTTCCCTTTGTGTGAATGCCTGCTGTGGGTACCCGTACCCCGCTCGCTGCCTGCTGGCGGGGTGGGCAGCCAGCAGCGTGTGACCCTGTTCCCCAGCCAGGAACGGAGCCGCACTACTCTGTCCCCCGGGACAAATGCCAGCCGCCAGGCTAGTCTCTGGAGGCCCAGGAGCAGCTGGCGAGGCACCAGCACTGACTGCTCCTGTTCTAGCAGCAGGCGGTCTGGGACTTGTGTTGTCACAGAAGTGACTCCAGGCTGCCGGGACAGAAGTGTTCCAGCTGCAGAACATGGCGTGCAACAAGGATGGGAATGTTCTGCATTGACCAGGGAGCATTCTGCTGCTAGTGTGGACTTTCCTCCTCTTCCCTAAAGGATGCCAGTTGCCTGTCCAAAAGCTACTGCTCACGCAGCCTCCTAAAGTGCAATGGCGAGTGGTCTGCAGGGCTTCTTGTGGACCATGCTGCTGCTGTTCTGCGCCATCCAGGAGCTGGGAGCCTGGGCCATGCACACTTCTGTTGAGGGCCCTGGCCTTGGGCAGCAGGAAGACCCTGCGCTGCTGGCCAGCGGGCGAGTGAAGCGTGGCTGGGTCTGGAATCAGTTCTTTGTGGTGGAGGAGTACACGGGCACGGAGCCGCTCTATGTGGGGAAGGTAAGGTAACCTGATGTCTCCATGGGGCTGACCAAGTCAGCAGCAGCACAGAGTGTGCCAACAGCATTGTCGAGTCTGGCAGGGAAAGAGGGTCTGCATGAAGGTTGCTTGTGGGGGCCCAGTTAGAGAAGTACTTTCTGGACTGGGATGGCAGGAGCCCAGTCCCTTCTGGGGTGGTGAGGCTGATGTGCTACCAGAGACTTTAGGGCAGGAGCACACCAAAGTTCACATCTATGTTCTTGCAGTCATGTGCTGGGTTCCCATGGTGTTTGGGGTGGGTGCAAGAAAGGGGTGCAGCTCTGGGTGTTGTGGGGGTGCAGTGTGGAAGGCTCAGCCACATCTCTGGGAGGATCTGCTGGGCTGGAGCTGATGTTCAGATCAGGCTAGCATCTGCTTCATGTGCTGGCACTAGTCCCTGCCATGTCTTGAGAGCCAGTACTGTTGTAGCACCAAGAGCCTTCCTGATACAGTAGTTACTGCCTTAAGTGCAACCCTGACTTCCGGAAGATGGTCCATCCCTTGCCCTAGTCCTTTCAACATGTGGATAATGTGCTGCTAGGTTTTGTTGGGTGGCCCCTCTATGTGGCTCCCTCCTGGTCCTGGAAGGACTGTGCTGTGTTGGACCTGCAAGCTACAGCGGCTGTTTCCTCGCTAGTTCTCTCTGCAAGCTGAGGCTGGCAAAGGAGATGTACTCTCTTTTTAAGGCAGGGAAATCCTGCTCTTATCTGTGGCCAGAGCAAGATTATTATAGGATTTATGTATCTCTGGCTGGCCTGCACAGTGTGGTGTAGAAGGTGCTTGGTGTGGGGGTGCAGGGCTTGGAGGAACCCTGGGGGTCAGCACTTGATAGAGCTTTCTTAGGTTTTGCAGTAGCTGTGCCCATCAGGTCTGTGCTATGGGTGCTGCTGGGTGCTGGCCAGGAGCTGCGCTGCGTTACTCTGCTGCTCCCAGGACCATGTCCTTGCTGGGCTTTGCACAGGTATTTGCATCCACAAACACCCAGGGAGAGGCAGTGGGAGGTTTCAGGCTTGTGGTAACCAGTGCATCCTGCTCTGCCGTGAGAAGATGCGATGCAGTTGCTGGAGCACACTGGTCTTCCCTGTGCTGAGGCAGTCCCAAGCTCCCTCTGGCTGTCTCCCTTCTCTGCAAGCGGGTTGCTGTTGGTGCTGTCCTGGCTCTTGCCGTTGCTTGTGTGTCCTGCAGAGAGGATGCTGGCAAACCTGGGGCTGCTGGCAGGTAGCAGTGCCTTCTGGGCAGGGCTGGGTCTGAACTTGCTGCTTCCCTGATGTGTGACCTGTGCTGGGGGGGGGGGGGGGGGGAGGCTGACCATGAGCCTCTGCTCCCGGTGTCCTGGGGCTGAAGGAGCATTTTGCCTCAGGGTTCCAGAGCTTTGGCCCTTTCTGGGAGCTGTGGGGAAGCTGCCCTTTGGCTCCCACATGTTGGGATGATGTTATTTGTACACCGATGAAGGTAGCACTGGCTGTTGGGACCAGAGGAGCACGCTGCAAGCCAGGTGGAGCTGCTGCTGGAGGCGCATGGGCTGTCCCCAGAGGAAATGCCCAAGAGCTCATTCAATAGGGATGTCTGTCAGCCTTGGCTGTCTGGTCATCAGTCTGGAGGAGGCTTGAAAATGGGCTTTTTGGCTAGGGGCCAGCTGGGATTTCACCGATTTGTGTCCATTTCAGCAGACGCTTGAGAGCTGCACTCCTCTGCCACCACACTTGATGCAGTTACAGCTAATTCACAGCTCCCCTGGGAAGTGACTGGAGGCATCAGGCCTGTCAAACTCCAGAGGTAGCCTAGCAACCACCTCGGCTCCAGAATGAACCCAGGCACCTGCCACTAGCCCATTCAACAGCCTCCTTCCACACCATTCACTGCATCACCCGCCCTGCTCTGGATAAAGGGCCAGCTTCTGCCAAAATCCACTCCCTGTGAGTTGCTCCCAGGGGCAGCTCCTGGGTCAGGCTTTCCTCTGGAGAAGGTGGGGCGGCCGCCTGGAGCTGCCAGCCCGCATGGCACAGCCGGTGGGCTCCGGGGGCTTCCTGCACCGGGGACCCAGGTCTCCCTGTGCTGGAGCTGGGGCTCGCCCTCCATCAGCACATCCTGCACACTTCCATGTGCTTTTTGAAGGGCCAATACCATTTCTGTAAAATCTGGCTTCTCCAGCTAATCCTTCTGAACCGTAATTTCCCCCGAGGCTGCTGTCAGTTTGATGTGGATTTCTTTGGGTTTTTTAAATAGAATTATGGGGTCAGCACTAGTTACAAACTTCTGCATGTGGACAGATCTATTTTAGATAGAGGAGAGGATTAAAGAGAAAAAAGCAGATTTAATTAAGTTGCTAATATTTAAAGAAAATTGATGAACTCGGGCTTTAGGAGTTGGAGCAAACAGAGTGTGCCTTTATTATGGGCTAGTTTTTATTTGATTTTCTTTCTCTTCCAGCCTCAGAGTAATTTTTTATTTGTATATCTGTGCTTTCTGTTTAATTGTTTTTAATAAGGAATGTGCACCTCTGCTCACATTTAATTTTGATTTAATTATTAGTATGTAATTCACGGCTTTGTAAAATTCCTCCTTGAAGCATTCTAGGGCAAGGAAGCTATTTTCCTGTTCAACAGACTGAACAGATCAGCGTTTTGTCCACCTTCTGGACAAGCCTGGCTGCTGCGGACACTTGTCCTTGGCCAGAGGAGCTGAGCTGTGGGCAGGGAATTCCCTCCATTCCCGGGTGCAGCACACCAGGGTAGAGCTGGGGGAAGGTGCAGAGGGTCTGTGCTGTGCCAGAGCTGCCTGCTGCAACTGGAGTCTCCAGGCCTGCATGGGAGCATGCTGCTCCCTTACCTGCCTGCTGCAGTGGCAAGAGCAGCCCTGGATGTGGTGGTCTGGGCCTGTGGCATCTCCCCTCAGATGTCTGCAGTCTGTTACCCAGCCCTCCCCCATTAGTTGTAGTTCAGCCAAGCAGCACAGATTTAGCTCTTTTAATCTTCCCTTGTAAATCAATCTCTACAGCCCCTTGAGCCCAGGATCCATTTTTCTTCCTAGCATTTCAGTTTGCAGGGATCCGGTGTCTGCTCCAAGCAGTTTGTGATGAGCAAACATGTAAAGAGGATGTGCTGAGAGCTCAGTGTGGTTCTAGGAAGAGGTGCTGGGTGGTTTATCTCTGGCCTAATTATTAATCATGAGCCTGGTGTTCAGTAGGAAAATGCAGGTTTCTGTTACCTGTGCTGTGCGGACCAGGTGTGTGGTTTTGTGCTCATCCGTGGCACAGTAATGAACACTAAGGAGAGGATGATAAAGTGGAGGGGCAGCAGGCGCTCCAGCAGCCAGGGAGGAGGGCTGAGCTGAGCCCAGTGAGCTACCCGAGTGAAGGTCTCCTATCCAGGCAGATGTTTCAACATGGGCAGTAATATGTGAATGTTCTGCAAAATGCAGTGAATTGTCTAACGCGTGGGCCCCTCATGAAATAAATATATAAACTGTGTCTAACAAGACAAATATAATGAACGCATCGTAAAAAAGAGGCAGCTCTGGTATAAATTCTTGCTGGTAGAGCTGTATGTCTGAAAGGTGGATTATAGAACTGCAGTTTTGAAGATTGAATGGCCCATAAACATTTTCATATTTCATTAGCCGATTAATGGACAGGCTTTTTGAGACACACACATGCGACTGCTCATTTTAAGCAGAAATTGTAGGAAGCAAATGAAAGCAGCTGATGAAACCTTTCCAGGGTCCTGTCCTGTTACGGATTGTCCCAATTAATGCCCATGCTGCTCTCTGTCATGATGCATTCTGCCTGTCCAGTTACTGTTAATAGATTTCTCATAAGTGGCTGGATTGTAACAACCTCATAACTCAGTTTAATGCCACCAATAAAATTATCTCTGGACGTCTGGCCTGGATTTCACTCAACTTCTGGTCTGTGAGGAGCTGTTTACCCTTTCTTTTCCTGATTTCAAACACTGTCTTAATTAGAAAATGGAGACTGGCACAAAAGCATCTTCCACAGGGTCTGGTTTTCACCCTGAGCATGGGCCTCATTTGCCACATTCTCCTGCAGTCTTTGCTTGGGTGGGGCTGTGGGTGTGATGTTGTGATGGGCTGACTCCCCTGTTGCCTTGCCACATAAACCCAATACAGATGTTGAGCGAGTACCTGAACTCTCAAGCAGGGAGACTTGTCAGCACCAACTGCTCTGAAAGCAGAGGGTGGCTGTGGTGGGGCAGAGAGGGCAGGTAGGAACAGATGCTGGTGGAGAGCTGCCTCTGTACCTTGGCCTGCTTTGTGCAGCCTGGGGGAGATGATCCCACACTGGTGTCTGGAGTCCTTGCCCACAGGGAAGCTTCTTGTTTTGGGGTTCTGTTACCTCTTCCATTATCTCTGAACCTCATAGTGGTGGGTTTGTCCCTTGGTTTGTGGTGTGGATGGGTTCTGGCAGGATTTGTGATCTGACAGGTGTACGGGTGGCATAGGTAGGACTGCAGTTCCCATTTATTGAGCCTTTTTCCATGCCCAGGCATCAGTTGGTGGTGCTCTGTGCCTCTCCCTGGTGACAGACATCACAGAGGCACCATGAGCTCCACATCATGCAGTCTTGGCCACAGGGCACAAGTATGGCCCCAGCCTGCTCCTACCCTCTCCCTCTTTCCCTGACAGATCCACTCAGACTCGGATGAGGGGGACGGCTCTATCAAGTACACGATCTCCGGGGAGGGCGCAGGGACTATCTTCCTCATCGATGAGATCACAGGTGACATCCATGCCACTGAGCGCCTGGACCGGGAGCAGAAAACCTTCTACACGCTGCGGGCTCAGGCCCGCGACCGGCAGACGAACCAGCTACTGGAGCCTGAGTCAGAGTTCATCATCAAGGTGCAGGACATCAACGACAGTGAGCCACGCTTCCTGGAGGGGCCCTACATCGGCAGCGTGGCTGAGCTGTCCCCCGTTGGTAGGTCTCCTGGCTGGGAGGAGGGGGGCTGGGGAACCTGTGTGCCGCTCCTGTCAAACCTTAAGCCTGCTGCACCCTGCAAAACCGCCTCCAAATCCCGGGGATTCCAGCTGAGACCAGAGCTAGGGAGCCAAGAGGGAAAAATAAATAAGGTGGCTTAAGGAAAACAAGTGAATAAATCCTCTGAGCTGATTGCCAGCCTGAGGCTGAGCGCTCAGTCTCAGCCCTAAGCTGTGCCCTGGGGATGGGCCATGGCAGAGCCAGCTGCCCACTGGGCATTTACCCTGGTTTTGCACAGCCCTCTCACTCCCAAACTCGGGGTGGCGGGCAGCGAACAGAGACCAGCTGAGCCTTTGCATGCCTGTGGTGCAGATCGGCTGGAGTGGTGTTTCTCCCTCTCAGGTAGCCTGTGTCACAGCCCCTCCTCAGGCCCATCCTCTGTGTGCTGCTTTGCTGCTGTCCAGAGCCCTGTGGTAGCTCAGCCACCCCCTTGTGCATCCCCATGCAGCACTGTCAAGCCCCTCTCACCTGGCCCTCTTGCCTTCCTCTGAGGGCTCAGGAGTTGTTGGCTGAGGTTGGGGAATTCTTGTCCCTGTAACAGAAGTGTGGCTTCCCCATTTTACTGTCCCCTTGCCCCTATCCTCTTGCCACCAGCATCCATTGGTGATCAGCCTTGCTGATCCTGCTCAGGGGCCAGGCAGGGACATGTGCCGTCAGGCTGTACAAGTCCATTCCCCCGTGCATGGCAGAGCAGGACAGTGAGCTCTGCACTCACCTCAGTGTCAGGAAGGGTACAGGGTGATGTATGAACTGCAGCATTGCTGCCCTTGCTCTCTGTGCTGGCCTGGTGCTGGGTTCCTGTGCTGCTGAGCACAGCTCAAGTGCACGGAGACTGGTTGGCTTGCTGAGCTGCCAAGAATGTCACATCATTCCCCATCCACATCAGACAATCTGTTATCCCCCATTGACTGGCCGGAGCATGTGTCAGCATTCGCTGCAGGCAGGGAACTATAAATCACTGCTCTCCAAAGGCTTCATGGAGGTAGGAGACAGCTTGCAAAAGGCTGACTGACATCAAAGATAAGGCAGGTCCCCAGCACTGTCAGCAAGAGATGAGTCAGTGAGGGGAGCGTGGCAGTGCTGGGGAGCAAGGGGGGGAAGACAGGGAGCACCTGGTGGGGCTGGGGCAGCCTGGCTGGACTGCACGAGGGGCTCTGCTGCTGGGTGAACCTGCCGAGTCCTGCTGCACTTGTGCGGGCAGGTCTAGCTGAGGAGGCATCCTGAGAGCAGTGCAGGGGATGCTCAGTCTACGCTGCTTCAGGATGGAGCTCTGCCTATCCATGGTTGATGTGCAGCATATTGTAAGACTGGTGCATGGCCTCCAGCAGGTTACAGGCGTGCAGAAATTGCCCACAGCAGGGGAGCTGCCACTGCCTGGATTTCATTTGACAGGTGGAGAACAATCTCTCCTGAGGTATCCCGAGCATTCCTTGCTCTTCCGTTTACCTGCATAATCCTTTTCCGAGTCAGAGTGACCTCTTGGACTACAGCCATGTGCTCCTGGAGAAATGAAAGACAGCATGTGGGCAGCAAAGCAGGAGGCATCCTGTTCCCAAAGGGAAGAAAGAAATTAGATTAATCTATTTTGCTTGAACAACATTTAAAAAGGAAGGAATTCTCAACTCTGAGTATTAGACAAGGATTCCAGTTCTTTGAAAATCACAAACAATTATGGAGCTGCCTGATCAGACTGATGTGAACAAGACATATCAAAGGAGACAGTTTCTATGCAAAATTGGAGATCAGAGGGAAAGAGAAACACAGTTTCACAACATAAAAGGAGGTGATTCCTGCAAATTAAAATACTTGGAAGTTAAAAGTAAAGAGAAGTGCTGTGAGCAGCGTGGGCTGTGCTACCAAGTGGCATGCTCAGACCGGGGAGCTGGAGCCGTGAGCCTGTTCTGCTTTCCAGGCTGATATCTGTTTGCGTGTGGCAAGCTTGGAGGTTTCTATAGCCTGGCCACCCCAGGGAGCATAAGGGCTCCTCTGTAGCAGCTCAGCCTTGGAGATGGCCCATCCAACAGCGCAGGGAGAGCTGCACGCATCATCACATGGTGCTGACATTTGGTCCCCTGCAGTATGAATGCAGAGCCTGGAGGGTACCCACGTGCTGCTGCTGCAAGTCCCCAGCTTCCTCTCACTTCTCCCTTGGCTTAGCAGTGATTTGCCCAGGAACAGGTAGCACAAATGACAGAATGGAGGCATCTTGCAAAAGCATAAGTAAGGAAGCTTGGGAAGAGTGAACAGGGAGCATGCCTTGCTGACTGTGGATGGAGCTGACCTTCTGTACCGGCCAAGGAAGGCTGGCAGCTCGGGCAGAGCTTGGATTGGTTATTAATGCATTAACGTGAAGGTCAAAGCCTGGGGACCTGCTGGTGAAGATGCCTATTCTCTGCTCCATTTGAGTACAGATGTTTTCCTGATCGTTGCTGGAAAGGGGCTAGGACAGGCCCACCCCAGTGGCCAGGGCTACTCCCTAGCTTGGAGTTTGTTTGCAGGGAGCTGTTCATTCCCTGTATCTGCTGCCCTGACAGCCTTTGCTTGGTGACGAGGCCTGAAAAGTGAAGAGTGGCCTCCTCCTTCCTCCTCCTGTGCCGCTGCCTTCCCAAACCTCACGGGGTTTGTGCTTTGCGTTGCCCAAGTGGGTGGTTTTCCTTCTAACTCATGGCAGCTATCAGCTGCAGCTCTCCATTCCCTGCCAAAAGCACAGTCCCAGCTCCCAGAGCTAGTGCCTTCCTGGGGCATAAAGAGGAATAAAACAAATACGGTCAGATCCGCTCTGTGACAGCAGGAGCAGATCAAAGGACATTATTTGCATAATGAAGGAGTACTAATTGGGAGGGAAAGTCAACTGATTTCCTAGTGTCTAAGAGGGAATAATAGGTGAGAGAACCACACAAACTCTCACCAAGTAGCTGGGAGTGCTTTGCAGCACACCTGCCCCTTGCTCTGCGCTGGGGTCAGGGCAGCATGTTTGGCAGGGAGAGCATGCGTGCTGCTTGAGACTATTAAAGTAAATCAGGGCGGACTAAAGGCCTCTTTGTACCAGGATCTTATCTTGACAGTGGCCAAAATGGATGCTTATGGAGGAGGAGGAACAACACACAGCATCTGGGATGCTCCTCTTAATATTCTCCCAGCCAGCAACCAGTTTCAGCTAGGGTATTTCTTTAGCTGTGGGTGGTTTCCGTGGGTTTAGCCTGCTTCAGTGTCTGTCTTCCATGAACTCATTCAGACTCCCTGTAAACCTCTGCAAAGAACAACTAAAAGGCATCGAATGCTGCTCTTGGGGTGCACAGGACGCAGGTTTGACCTGAGGCTGCAGGGAGGCAGCTGGAGCTGCAGCAGGGCAGCAGGCTGTCTGTGCTCAGCCTCCCACACGAAGCACCAGAGCCACACACATGAATGAGCCCAAATCCAGCACACAGTGCCTCCTGCAAGACATCACTGGTGGTTGCACAGAGTGCTGTTGTAGCCCAAAGCTCACTTCTGGGCTGTTTCGGGTGTGTGCAGAACCCGGAGTGAGGCACGTGCTAGGAAACGTGCATCCTTTCACCAGAACATTTCTCCTCCCTTGGGGCATTTTGCGCTCCTTATTTCTTTGTGTAGCACCAAGTCCAGATTAGAGACAATCTGGCTGTACAGACAGAAAGTTGGGGTCAAGCCCTGGCTCTAGCACAAAGCTTGCTGAATGCAGAAGTGATTATTGTGAAGAGAAATTGTTTAATCTCCACACTGCAGCCAGGATGCTTGCAGGCACCTGAGCTTTTTTCTTGCCTTGATAGGCAATGCTCAGAACTCTTGTGTGCACCTGGGAGCTGCTGGGGCAGGAGGAAGCTGGAGCTGGAGCTTGCCCGGCCTCTTGGTCCTCAGTGTCCTCTCCCGCAGTGCACTTGGTCATGGGTTTGTTCCCCAAGATGCCATGTTTACCTGCTTGATGCCAGGGCTGGGGTCAGCTGAGCAAGGGGTTTCTCTGGCCAGACATCCCAAAGGATAGTTCCATAGTTGTATGTTTTAGAAATTCCACCACAGCCAGGTTAGCTCCCTCAAGCTTGTCCTGTGGGACTCGAGGGCTCTGCAGAATCTCCTCTGGGTCTGATTTGGCTTTCTACCAAGCCAGGATGTTCCTGAGGCTGCAAGAAACTCACTTCTGCTCCAGTAATTTCTACGCTGCCCTGGTTTATTTTGTTCCCTGATACCCTGTTGGCTTGTTTCTGGGGTGCATCAGCCACTGCCTGTCCTGGGGCAAGGCAGAAGCTGTAAATTGCATTGTGTATAAAATCTCAGCTGCCTCCAGCCTCCACAGCAACCAGGTTTCCTGAGACCCGAGTGCTGCACCCAGGCGTCAGTCCAGCGTGTGTGGCTTTGAATGACAAAACACTCCTCTCAGGGTGCTTTTTATTCTGCAGGGCTGAAATGACCATGTGCTGTCCTGGAGCTAGCTGAATCTGCGTGGAAAGGGGTTCTCTAAGCACTGGTAGAGTTGTTCTTTGGGCTGTGTGTGAGCTGGAGGTGCAGGCTGTAGCCCTGCAGCTTTCTGGGGAGCAACTGGAGGATCCTGCCTGCACCAGGGAGGGGGTGAAGGTCTTTGGTGAGGAGGGGTGGTCAAATTTAGCAAGCATTGGCTTTCCCTGCTACCTGCTTTGTCTCTTTGTAGGCTTGGAGTGCTTCTCTCCCTGGGGAAGTGATGGATTCCATCTGCTTGCTTGTGGATTCAGTGCAGGGCCTCTTTATACTCTTGGATGTGCCATCTATCAGCATTTAGCTACATGTGCTTGGAGCAAGTGACACAGCAAGTGGTCTGGAGCCATCAGCCTCCTGTGTGCAGGTGAACGGCTGAAACTGCTGCAAAGGCTCTGGGTCCTGCAGGGAAGGTGGTGATGGACACTAGAACAGGTCTGCATTAGTATTTCAAAGGGACTCTGCCCCCACACATCCAAGCCAAGGCACTTGGTGCTGAGCCGCTGCCTGCAGGGCTGGCCTGGGACTGCACTGTGGCAAATGGCTCTTGGATCCCGGGGCAGTGCCAGGCACCTCTGGAGCTGGCTGCTGAGCCCCTCTGCACTGCCACCAGCTCCGTGCTGCGATGCCCGTGGCTCCCGCACCCAGCCTGGCCGGCACCCGCTGCTCTGCAGCCCCAGGGCTGAGAGGGAGGCTTGCTCTGGAGGTGAGGGTCTTGCCCCCCTTTTCCTCTGGGAGAAACCAGTTTGATCTGTTGTGGCAGATCTCACCTTTTGCAGCAGGAGAGTGACAGATGGACTCTGACTTGTTAATCTTTATGCAAAATTTATGGTTTCCCCTGGTTCTATGGGGTGAGCTGGCCAGGGAAGGAGCTGAGGTCTGACTCATTTTACATGTCTAGCTGTCTCTCTGGATATGAGTTCAGGATTTCTGGTTATGGGAGGTGGGTTATGCGGTACATGATGAATGTTTAGCTTTTATTTGTCATATCTTTTATGGCTAAGATACATGCCAGAGAACTAAATAAAAGTCGTACATGCTGTACTTGCTGTGGGCAGTGCTATGCTTAGAGCAGGGTGGGAGCCAGTATTCCTAGGCTTGTCTCCACAGGAAGGAGGGGATCAGGATAAACTGGAATTCAAGACCTTTGTTCTTCACATTGAAAGGGAGGGGGAGGGAGGAAGGGGTGGGAAAGGTATAAATGTGGGTTAAGAGAGGGTGCTGGAAAGTTGGACTCCTAGATTCCTGACACACTACAGGTAACCTTCAGCAGGCTGCACTGCATCTTAACAGACTAGAAGTTAAGGCACAAGGTGGAGTTAATGGTAACTACCTGCTGTTGTTGCTCATCTGCTAATGAGATGCTGTGAGAGGAGGTGGGGATGGACAGAGCCTTCATCACCTTCAGGGCTGCTGGCTTCTTCCAAAGGGCATTTTTCTGTGATCCTGCTGCCTCCAGCTGAGGGTGCCTTGCTGCATGCTCTTCATGCTGCGTGGTTTCCCCTTGCACTAGAGTGGAAAGTGCTGGCCTCAGACATGGGGCTCATGAGTGGGACCTGGAGCCTGGATCTGCTGCCCCACACCCCTGTTGCTCCCTGTTGCTTGGGAGTGCCCAGCAGCCAGAGGCAACCCCACTGGTCCCCAGCCTTCTGTGGAAAACTGAGATCAGAACCTACCTGGCTTGTCAAGGGCATGGCTTAAAACAACTAAACCTCACCTCTGGGTGGGCAGGGATCCTGTCTGCCACTGGATTCTGCACTGCTGCAGTTTGCAGTGTTCAGGGAATTACTGGAACACAAGGAGGATAGCTGTTTGACGGATGGGTTAGTAGTGGAATGATGCACTTGAGTGAATTCATCTGGGGAGAAGCAGCATGAGATGCAGAGCCTGCTGTAAACTTTTAGTGATCCCCTCCTTAATGATCACTGAGCTGGTACCTGTGGGGTGACAGCACTGAGATGGCTGGAATGGAGGTTTGTGGCATAGTCCTTGGAGCACCTGCTCCTGTCTGCATGCGTGAGTCCTGATGCAGGTTATTCTGTGTACAGGGCAAGTGCAAGTGAAGAATGCTGATGGGTTGTCTTGCCTCTGAGGTGCCCAGGCAAGAGGAAGCGGTTCTTGGAGCATGGGGTGTTTGTGCAAGGTTCTGCCTGCGGTGACAGTGGGTGCAGGAGCTGCTGTGGGCACTGGGCAGGGACTCCAGGTGGTTGCTGCCAGGCTGGGCGCAGCAGGAGCCCTCCCTGTTGCTTTCTTGGTGCTTTTTGTGATTCTCAGACTTCGGCACCCCCGGTGTCCCCAGCAGGGCTTCACTACAGCAGGGAGAGGGTTGCTCCGAGACCCTGCTGATCACTTCCTTCCTCACTTCCTGATCAAAAGCTTCCTGAAGGAACATGCCATGAGGGGCTGTGCGGTGGAGTTGCCGGTGTGGAGGTGATTTTCCTTGGCTCATGCTTGCTGAAGGAGCTGTGTGATGGCAGGCAGGAGAGGAGGGGGCAGGACAGACCCTTTTGAGGAAATGCAGCAAAAGAGTTTCTATAACAGTTGTTGGCAAGACAGGGAGCTAGTGTAGCTGTGGTGTAATCTGGATGTGCCTGGCAGGGATGCGCCGTAACTTCACTGGAGACAGCAAAGCATAAATAAGTTGACTCAAAGTAGCTTGTTGGTGAAGACCGATGAGGGGGATTCTCATGTTATCAGCAGAGCTGCAGCTCTGAGAAGAGGAGAGAGAGAGGCCAGGGAGAGTGTAAAGCAACCATGGTAACTGCTTGTTTCCTTCAGTGAGCATCCTTTCCAGGAGATCAGAAGTGAATGGGCTGGGGGCAGCACGTACATCCCAGCTGCTTGCATCTGGACCACTGTGACCACTGTCTCCACTGGCTTATCTTCCACCTGAGTCCAGGCTGGGCTGGTGCAGAAGCGCCCAGGCTGCCTGCAAGCCCTGAACTTGTGGTCTCCTCTGTGGACAGAGGAAGACAAAGGCCCAGGACTGAGGTTTCTCATCCTCCATTTGCATGGTTCCAGCTCCATTTCTGCCCACAGGGACGTGACCGCTTCTGACTCTGTGTGTACCTCTGGTGTTTGGGGATGTAATGGGTCGAGTCACAGATCCTGACAACTAGTAGTACGCCTTGCTCTTGATTATTCGTCATGGGTCTAGCCAAGATCAGCCTGTGAGACTGTCTTTGCGGCATATGGACGGATGCACTGAAGAGCAGGTGGTTATGTGGTCCAGTGTGGTACCTCTGATCCTCAGCTGGTTGCACAGCACCCTTAGGAGGTGTGTGAGGCAGAGCAGAGCTGCTGGATGAAGCAGCGTGAGCTGTGAAATGCTCTCTCCTGGCCCTTTCAGTTTGGGCTGGTCTTGTGCCCTGGAGGCATCTCTGGAGCAAAACCTTCCTGTAATCACTGCTGGAGGATCTTGGAATCACAGAATCATAGAATAGTTAGGGTTGGAAAGGACCTCAAGATCATCCAGTTCCAACCCCCCTGCCATGGGCAGGGACACCTCACACTAAAGCATGCCACCCAAGGTTTCGTCCGACCTGGCCTTGAACACTGCCAGGGATGGAGCATTCACAACTTCCCCGAGTTTTAACTCATTACCCCTTGTCCTGTCACTACAGTCCCTAATGAAGAGTCCTTCCCCAGCATCCCTATAGCCCCCTTCAGATACTGGAAGGCTGCTATGAGGTCTCCACGCAGCCTTCTCTTCTCCAGGCTGAACAGCCCCAACTTTGTCCGCACCTCCAGTATGGAGACAGGCTGAGAAAGTTGGGGCTGTTCAGCCTGGAGAAGAGAAGGCTGCGTGGAGACCTCATAGCAGCCTTCCAGTATCTGAAGGGGGCTATAGGGATGCTGGGGATGGACTCTTCATTAGGGACTGTAGTGATAGGACAAGGGGTAATGGGTTAAAACTGAAACAGGGGAAGTTTAGATAGGATATAAGGAGGAAATTCTTTCCTGTTAGAGTGGTGAGGCACTGGTATAGGTTGTCCAGGGAGGTTGTGAATGCTCCATCCCTGGCAGTGTTCAATCTTGTCCATTACAAATTACTAGCTTCCCTGCTGGCCTTTGTCAGCTCCTGATCCTGGCAGTATCTTGCAGCAGGGAGTTTCCCAGTTGATTTCATCTTTCCTGTGAGCAGCTCTGGGCTTTTTCCATCCTGCACGTCATCCCAGCAGAGAGGTAACCAATGCCAGCACTTGACCTGTAGGGTGGGGATGCTCTGAGGCTGGTGCTAGAGGCTGAACTGGGTAGCCTGTCACAGGTCTTCAGTCACAGTCTCTTTTCTCAGAGATGTGTGTAGGTAGGATTAGGCTTCCCCTCCTTTCTTGCTTCTGCTGTTTCTGTAGATCTCAGCCCCTTTGCTCCTGGCCCCATTCTCATGTCCTGGGTCTTGCTTTTGCCGGACTGAACGTGATGTCAAATTAAAGCCATCACAGGGACAGTTGGAGTGAAGCACCCAGTTTAATGAGGCAGCATTGAAAATCAATAACTTAATTGCAGACATTCGATGGACTTTTATCCAATTTGTAGTGCTCCTGCCCTGCTACGTGTAGAGCATGAGGACATGGTGCTGTGTCTGGCTCTGGGCAAGTGAAAGCCTTTCCTTTCCCATGGCTGTCATCCCTGTGCAGATGTGTCTGCTGCAGAGATGTAGTGCTGCAGTGTGGATCAGGCCCTGTGGGCTGGAGGTGGCAGTGGCACTCAGTGCTGGCAGGAAGGGGGCAGCTGTGGTAGTAACATCTCATCCCCAGCTCCTTCCTAGATGGTCCAGCAGAAGTCTGCTGGGAGAAAAGCTGCTGGCTGCTTGGACCAGTGATCTCCTTGAGAGCAGGTCCTGCTCAGACAGCAGCCCCTGCTCCCTCCTGCCACTCTGCAGGACAAAAGAGGCATTTACAGCAGTGTCTGGAGTCCTGGCTCTGGGGCTTTTGCAGGGAAGCAATGCTGCATTTGCCTTCAGCTGGTCACGTTTCCATCAGCATGTGTGAGTGATCAGTGCTGGCCCCTGCTCAGCCATTCTGCCAGCCCCTGGCCTGGTGGTCTGTGTTGCATTTCTGCCTTCCTCGCTGACGTTGTTTTCCTCCTTGTCCCTGCTGCAGGTACCTCCGTGATGCAGGTGATGGCATCTGATGCTGATGACCCCACATACGGGAGCAGTGCCCGGGTAGTCTACAGTGTGTTGGAGGGTGAGCAGCACTTTACTGTGGACAGTAAAACAGGTGAGCAGCAGCACCCAGCTCAGGGCACCAGACTGCGGCCACCTGCCTTGCGTGTGATGCGCATGGCAATGTGCCAGCCGCTGGTGCTCATGGCACAGGCATCACTGGGTGCTAAGAGCAAGCTACATAGCCCGCCAGGCTGCTGCCTGGCTGGGTGCAGAGCCTGCAGCAGGCAGCACTGTGCAGCAAGACCTGAGGCTGCCAGCCCCGTGCTCTGTGTGTGCCTGCACTGGCCAGAGCCGCGCTGTGCCCAGAGCAGGACTGCACCCACAGGCACATCAAATCTCCGTGTGAAAGGTTTTAGTACTACCAGAAGGGCCTTACCAAAGGCCGCATTGTTATCACCAGGGCCTTGATTAAAGGTAACACTTTCAATTAAGGATTGGTTTATAAATGTTCTATTAATATTTAATGAAAGAACAGTAGAAGCTGCTCCATTCCTTAATAACTTGTAATAGAGCCTGTTGTAAAATGCCTCTGTAATAAATCTGTGGCAGATGATGCTCTGACATACTGGTTAGAGTAGGCCATAACCAGGAGATCCTGGAGTATATATTCTCCTTGCCTCCCAGGAATGTGACTCATTACCCTTAATGGGAGCCTTTGGAGCTTTCTGAGGGAAGGCACTCAAATGCTAATAAGAGGTATTTAAGGTACAAAGCATGTAGTAAAGTACCCATAGTTTAATGAAAAATTGTCAAAGGACAAGCACTGCTGGGTAGCTGCAGGTCTTGTTGGAAGGCTGGACAGCAAAGCGTACCCCAGCCTACTGGCACAGACTTGAGATCAACACCTGAACTGAAGTGCCAAATGTCTGTCAGGCTGACCTGTGTGATAGATGCCTAATAGATGTTTTGTAAGGCTCTTTTTATGTAAGTCACAGTGAAACTTGTTGGGAGGCTCATGTGTAAGGACACTGTGAGGAGGATATGTGTGCCTGAGCCTCTGCATCGGTGTGGAACCACACACCCCCTGCAAACTGGTCAGGGGGCATGGGCAAGCCAGTCTCAGCCCTGGCAGTGCCATCAGCCCTAGCTACAGTGAGTGAAAGGCTCAAATTTGGGTGCTCCTAAGCATGCCTGACAGCAGAGCTGGGGCACACACTGGAAGATGCATTGTCTGGACAGGCTGGTGCAGTGGGGAGAGCCCACAAGAAGCAGCCTGAGGCTGTACCCAGTGCTGGCCCAGAAGCTGCCGCACCTTGGCTTTCTTTGCTCCCAGATTTGCTTTGGTTTGGAGGTGGGAGGATGGATGAGCAATTGGCTAAACACTGAAAATACAGGTGCGTGTGAGATCCTGTTAATCTGAGACAGCTTTGTGTGAATGGAAGCCTGGCTGCTAGAATGACAAGGGACCACTGGGAGCAAAATGCACAAGCTGGGACGTGCAGAGGCTCAGTTTTCTGCATCAACGTTAATGCTCTGTATTAAGGCATAAACTAAAATGTGCCCTGTGGGACTGTGGTGAGAATTAATGTCACCCTGGGAATCCAAGCTTCTTGGTTCCTTGACTTTTTGTGTCTTAATTCTCAAGCTGTCTGTTTCATACACTGGGGGGTTGATTTACTGTGCTACTTGCTTGTGATTCATAAAGGCAAAACTGCTGACAAGTCTGCAGAAGAGTCCTCAGCTCCTCTGGAACACATCTGTTCCCAGAGTATCTGCCCGTTAAAGCAGGTATCGGGGCTGACTCTTTGGTGATGTCTGAGCTAATACCACCTTTGGAGGCTGCTCGCCTGGGCTGCAGGGATGTAGCACGCAGCTCTGTCCATGGCCTCGTGCCTGGCGTGAGCTGTATGTCCCACAGGGGCTGCAGGGGACAGCAGGGACAGGGCTGGTGCTGCCGGGGGGGGGAGCTTTTCATTGTATGTCTCTGATGCTGGCCAGAGCTAGCACATCCACCAAGCAAATCCCATCCTGCTCCCACTTTTGAATAGGTTTTTAGTGCTCCACATGGGAATCCTGCTTGGACTGACCTGGGTGGCCCAGCTTCTGCCCTCAGCGTAAGATTTAATTATCCACAGCAGCAGCGTGGATGCTCTCAGAGCCACCATTGTTACTAATGGCCATAAAAGGAACCATAAAAACCTGGCATGTTACATTTCTTATAATTTAGTGTAACGAAAAGCCAGTTGTTTTCCCTTTCTGGTTTTGATCTCTTTCTCTGCTTTTTCTTCCAGGTCCATACATGCATGTGCCCCCTTGCACACTGCCTAAGTCCCTAACTCCTTCCAGCACGGGTTGTCTCGTCCTTCCTTGCTTTTACAGTCAGCTCTTTTTGAGCTGTCCTTCATAGCATGGATGCTGCATGTACAAGTGTGGTGCAGGATGTGGCTTGTGTGTAGGTTGCTTAGTCTCCTGTTCTTGGATGTTACTAGCTGTAGTGTTCAGCTGCAATTTTGGATTTGATGGGACTTTCAAAGGCATACCCAAACTGTCTAGATGCCATGCTATGCCAGGTCTTATCACTCAATAAGCCCTGAATTCCCATAGCGTCTGACATCTTTTTGGAGGGAGATGAGCAGCTAAATGGCCCCATTAGAACAGTGCGATCTGCAGCATGGCATTTGCTGGTGTCCACAAAGCTGCGGAGGATGATTCCAGTTTCTGCAGTGTTGAATGATGGTGAAGAAAAAGCCCAGCTGTGGCATATGAGCTTTTATTTTTCATATACTCCAGCCACTCTCTCTCATGCTTTGAGAACTGTTTCAGTGAAAGAGTGAGACAGTGCAACAGCCTGTGGGTTTGTGCTGTGCGTCGCAAATGAGGTCCCAGAACTTACCCTGCACAGATTTAAGGTCTCAACTGGCTTTTTTGGTGTATGAGTGGGGAGCTTTGTATGCACAGACTTTGGAGGCATCATTTTCTGTGCCAGCTATGAGAATATCCCCTAGGCTTCTTGCCAGAGCCTTCAGGTATTTGTCATATTTCAGCTTTGTGCTGTCTTCCTCACTGATTCTCAGTTTGCCTGTAGTGGGCAGCTGGTCTTTGCTTGCTCTTTATAGCAGGAGAGCTGCATTTCACTGCTCGTGGCTGCCCTGTTGCTGCTGGAGGAGGATGTGCTTTTACAGCAGTCAGCACATACGTGTGCTATGCTGCTTCTGTTGGGAAACAGCCAGTTCTGGTGGTGGTGGTGGATGCTGGTTCTGGTGTGGGCACTGCGGTGTGACTGCACAGAGCCATGTCTCCCCTGCAGCTCACTGCTGTGGCAGGCACAGGGTGGCCAGGAGCCCCAGCTCTGTCCCACGGGACGTGGGTCAGGAGGTTTAGTGCTCATTTCTATTCTAGATCCAGGAAGCCCATCATCACCAAGATCCTTCTAACTTGCACTCTTCAGATGCTGAGACAGGCACAGAGAGGATGTGACTCCCTGTGCATTTATACACGAGAAAGTGTGAACTTAAATTTGCAGGCCAGTTTTTCATATTGCTTTATATCACCCTGCATTCTCTGCACCTCTGCAGATTATTCAACTTTTTGGGTGCAGCTCTCTTCTTTGGTGGGCAGCTGCGTGTGCTGCTCATATCTGTTCCTGTGTTCTTTGTAATGCCCTTTCTCATCTCTGGCCAGCATGGAGACTGGCTGCTGCCTGCAGTCCCTCCCCGCAGCCTCAGGAGCAAACCTGGAAATACTCCACACCAGAAGATCTTGTTCACCCTTTTGCAAGGATATTGACTGTTACAGAACAATCACAGCAGGTAACATCCTAGGCCTCATATTTGGTGCTTCCCTTAAAACCCAGTTTGTTGGTGTGGGAGAGGGCAGGGGAATCTTGCTTTTTGCTGAAAGAAAATGGTTCTTAAGATCTGTCATCCTCCTGTAGGCAGGAAAAAGGCAGAAGGACTCGGAAGGCTAATTGAAATGCAGTTTGGCATTTAGGAGTACTTAAAACAGTGCCTGAATTCTAAAGCCTGTCTCCTGATTTGGAGACAGTGGGTGAGGGCTTAGAGATACCTATGCCAGGGAGAGCAGGACAAGAAGTACTGGCCTGCTGGCATGAAGCTGGTGGTTACTCGTTTGCAGTCATTAGTTGCTTCATCTTTGCCTGTCAGCCTTGCCCTCTTTGGAGACTGATGACAGCCCTTGTCCCAGGGTGCTGGGGTAGACTGGGAGAGGAGCTGTTGCTGGGAGCACGCTGCATGCTGAACTGGGCTGAGGAACTGTCGTATTTGTGGAGGCGGAACATGTTTCTCTGCTGCTCTTGCCAGTTTCTTAAAAATGCTCCTTGGTGCCTGGAAACAGATATTGTATGTGCGTATTTGTGTGCGCTCATGTGTTTATGCAGGTCTGTGCCCATCCCAGAAGCTCATTCAGCAGGGCAGTGCAAAGGGACAAGGGATGGGCAATGAGAGGCTGCGGAGAAACCATGCTTTTTAAAAGGAATTGCTTTTATTAGCAGGACTGAATGTTAGCAGTCCTTCTTGGAGACTGGTGGAGGAACTTCAGTTTGTTTGGGACCAAACTGTATGTTCGGTCATCTTGAGGAAATTAAGGGGTATCTACCCATGTACAGTGGGAATTAATATTAAATGACAAAGGATTTAGCTCAAAAGAAGGGACAAAGGAAGAGTGAGCATGCTGGCCCATCCCTCAGAGCTCTGCGGGGGCCTCTCCTGGCTGCTGCCTCTGCTGGCACGGGCAAGGCTAATTCCAGCCAGGAAGAAGCGCCTCCTCTCAGGGCAGCGGCAGTAGCTCCCTAGGACCTAAGGAACACAGTGGTTTGAAAAGGACTGGCTACCTGTTATGAATGGTCCTGCATTAAGAAACCTGCAGGCTGCAGCATCCCTCAGCCACAGCAGTTGTGCAGTTCTGCACCCCTCCTGTTAACTTCGCTGTTTAGTTTGGTGATGCTGATATAACCAAGTTCCTTTTCTGGACCTCAGCTCCGTATCTTATTTGGTGAAGGGTCCTGAACCTTCCAGTAGCCAGGGCGGATGAAGTGCTGGTTCTTGGGGCTAAGATCCCACCTGCACTGAGCTGCCCTCCTCCAGGATGTCTGCCTTAAGCAATGCTCATGTCTGTGCAGATACATTGGTATTTCTACATCACTGCAGGCGAGGGCACAGGTGAGGGGTCTCCACTCTGTTTGGCAGGTGCCTTCCCACCCCTGTACTGAGGCAGAGATCTGTTTGCTTTAACTGGCTAGGCTGCTGGGAGGAGTGAATCTGTTTTATCCAGCTGAACAGGAGGGGATGGAGAAGCCAGATCCAAACTCTTCTTAGGCATGCACAGTAAAAAGACACAAAAGGCAGGAAGATAAAACTTGCCATCATGAAGGTGGCATTTCCATCCTTGGAGATACTCAAAACCTGACTGGACGTGGTCCTGGGTAATCTCATCTGCCTTTGAAGACCATCTACTTTGAGCTGTAGTTGGACCAGGGGACTCCTGAGGATACAACCTCTCCATGAATTTCTTGGTTTATGCTTTGTAGCAGGAACATGTTTCTCCTGACTGCCCTCAGCAGGAAGCGGCCTTCTCCGGAGGTTCTCTGAAGATGTGGAGACATCTGGGCTGGAAGTATCTAGGAGCAGACCAAAGCCCATAATGATGGGGTTCCTGGAAGTCAGTTGCCTGCTGAATGCTTTGTCCTGCTTTGGTTTTATCACCCAAAGAGTATCTGCAGTGTGAGCAGATTTGATGGTATTTATGTGGTGCTGTAAGTGTCCACTTGACTAGTAATTATACTGATTAATCTGGATCATGCTAGAAAATCGCATGTACCTTGTACCAAAGGGTATGCCACCACACGTCTCTATTATTCAACTATAACAGATGCTGACAAGAGCTAGGGAGAGGAGTCTGAGCTGGAGGGTGTTCTTGCTTTGTTGACAGTGTCTGGGAAGGACAAAGCTTGGCAGTTGTACTGGCTAGAAAGAAGGTGAATCTTGGGAGATGATAAGGGCTTTTCCCTTTGTACAGCAGTGGAGGTCCCTGTCTCTTGTGTCTCTGTGCCCTGAGGACAGGTCTGCCACCATCACTTGCTGCTGCTTTGCAGAGTCCTTGTGGGTCAGGTTTTGGGAGCAGAGGCTATGCTGCTCTAGGAGGTGGAACCAGGTGAGTTTGCTGCTGGTGGGTGTTTATGGCAGCACTCGCAGTGCCATATTTAAGGAACTGGTGTGGAGTGTGTTTGGAGACCCTCTTTTGTCAGGGCCGCCAGGAAAGGGTAAGTGGTACCTCAGCCTAAAAGACAAAATGAGCCGACCGTCAGGGTAGTACCTAGTGTGGCCCTCGCAGCTTTAGGGAGAACAGCTTTCTTGGTGACAGACCCACTGGGGTTCTTGGAGGGCTGGGGCATGGGTCAGTTCCTCCGTGTCAGACTCTGCTTTTCCAGGATGGACTGGGCAGTCAGCATCTTGGCAGGAGGTGGTTTCTGCGCACAGCCTGCACCCCAGCCAAAGGCAAGGGTTCTGTCTGCCTTGTGCCACTAGAAGAACTGGAGCCGGTTGTCCTGCTCTGCACATGCCAAATTGCATGGATTTGACTCCTGCTGGGACAGGTGACCTTGGAGGCGTTCTGGGAAGCGCCTGAGCACTTTTCTCCCATCTTGCATGGTGTATTATGAGCTATATCATTACGAGCAGCTCAGTTAAGTCATTACAGCCTTGGTGAATGCATGAGCTTTTTCTCTCTCATCCCAATTCATCACTATTGTGCTGACATGAATCATTTTCATTATAAAGCCCTGTTAATTAACAGAATTGCTTAAATTTCAATGAGATAGTGCTTACCCAGAAATAATGGGTTTGCATTCATAGTGGAGTGACAGGAGAAGCCTGTATGCATGACCAGCTGAGGCCAGTCTTGTGCAGCCTGGAGTGCTTGGGCAAGGCCAGTCCTGCCTGAGCTCAGATGGGAGGTTGAGATTCTTGCTGGGGCTTGTGCCTGCAAACATGTTCATCCCTCCCTTGGTGTGCTTCCTTGGTCCTTTGGATGATGTGGAGTGGGACTGTGGTCAAACAGCTTCCCTTGAACGGAACTGGGATAAAGGAGCCAGTGCAGGCCCTGGGCTCCATCACAGGGTGAACACCTGCTGTCATCCTATGGAGGGCTTGGGATGCTCCCTACAGCACTTCTGCATTGCTCCATGCTGTGTGCCAGAGGCTGAGCAAGAGATGGGCTGAGAGTGTGTGAACAGGCAGGTCCTGGAAGTGCTCAAGAGATGCTTGGTGGGACAGAGCCCCTCCATTCATGTGACTGAAGGCAGTGGGAGTCCAGGTAATTACAGACTAAAATGATGGGGGGACAAGGGAAGCTGGGTGAAATTGTGTGTGGGAACTGCAAGGATCTGAAACAGTGGTTATGTCTCTATAATAAATCCTAACAATGATAATCGTTGGGATAATTGCTAGTTTCAGGAAGCAAGGAGAGATAAACTCCACAAGAGTGTTGCCAGACCCTGCTGCACCTGCAGTGTCATGAAAAGGGGAGGAAATTCCATCCTCCCGGCTCAGTGGTATTTCTGGCTGCTGTTGGGACACAGCACCAGTGGCTCCTGGGCATGAGCCGTCCCCGCAGCCATGGGCAGCGGTGCACGTCATCACGCATGAATGGGAAGCAGTGGCAGCCGGCTGCACCCAGCCACCTCTTGCCTCCTTGCAGCCTGCTGGCACCCAGCTCTGCCCTCCACTGTGCTCAGGCTGTGCTGGAGGCTTCTCCCAGTGTCTGCCTTGAGCCACGTGGTTTGGGCAGCTCTGCTGCTCCACCATCGCTTGCTTTGGGGCACCTCAGCAAAAACAAGTTGCTGAGAGCAGGGGGGTGATCCCCTGGCAAGGGAGGAGCAAAGTGTTCCCTCCATCCGGACCCCTCACTGCAGACCCGCATGGCACAGCCAGGCCACCCTCATCCCCTCCCGCCGCCTCCCTGCCACCAGGCAGGGTTACTGGGGACAGAAAGCAAAGACGGATTTGGGGGTTCACAGCAGGAGGAGGTAAAGCTGGTAGAAAAGCCTGGAAGAGAGAGCAGTTACAGAAACACAAACCAACGTCTAAGTCTGTGTTAAGAAACTGAGCTGGAGGGGGTTTAGGCTGATTCCTGCTGTTCTGGGGTGCTGCTGGTATAGGAGACTGCGAATGTGCCGCTAATAACCATGCCTGCACTCCTGTGTGCCCCTGGTGCCACCTCAGGGCAGAGCCATTTCTTTCATTCTCAAAATATTTCTTCTCTGCTTTGTTTCAATGTAAATTAAGCACTCCCGGGTGACAGGGGCAGTAGTAACGTTTGCCATGCACAGCGTTTTCTGGGGTTTACTACCCTTTGTTTCTTGTTTTACATTCCTTTACGTTTCAGCCCCAGTAATTTCCCCCCAGCCCAGATGAATACTGAAGACCTATCAGCACTTTTTAAAGAGACTGAATTTCATAACGAGTACGAAGATACCACTCATTTTTTGTTCAGCTTTACAGGCTCTAGTGCATCCTCTGGCACTGCATGAACATTTGAAAATGAGGGGTTTTGTGCAGTGTCCCTGGTCAGACAAGGGGTCTCTGCAGGCGGGCTTGGGCCACAGAAGCCCATGAGATGGAGCTCGATCAGGTTCTGTTCTGCAGCAAGCCAGGCTCCTGCTGCAGCAGATAAGGGTAAGTGGCTGCTGCAGATTTGTGCCAAAAGGGCTTGTGACTCAGCCTGGGCTTTTACCCAGCCTTTCTGTGCAAGCCTTGAGGCTGGCCCCAGTGCAGCCCTATACTGGGGTGAGTTCTTATGCTCCTAAACCCACCAATCCTTTACCAGCCTCCCTGGAGAGACAAACCTCCTCCGAGCAGGAGTTTAACCCTGTCAGAGCTACTGCAGTGGAAGCAGTAGTCAGAACCTTCCATGCACCATGCCTGGGAATCCATTGCAAAGACCTGCTGGAGTCGGGTTGGACCCAAGGCCATGACTGGGCTCTGGGGGATTTTCAGGATGTTTCTGCCTGGCTGACAAGCCCCTGGGCTTGTTCTTCTCTCCAGAGCCCTTCTCTTCCTTCAGTCAGCTTTTGCTTACATGATCTCTGTGAAGGCTGCAATGGGTTTGCTCCCTTTTGCACTGGGGTCCAGCAGATGTTCTTTGTTGTTGCCAGCAGTGTGCTCCTATGGCAAAGACAACAAGAGCACCTAGGGCTGTGGTAGGAGGAGCATCACCAGCAGTGGAGAGAGGTCACTTGTCCCTTCTGCTCAGCCCTGATGATGATCCAAGTGCTGTGCCTGGTTCTGGGCCGCCAGATGTAAGAGTCATGGGCAAACCAGAGTGAGTCCAGGGAAGGGCCATGAAGATTGGTGAAGTATTGGAGCATCTGGCATCTGCAGAGGCTGGGAAATCCAGCTGATCCTGTTTAGAGCTGGGGCTTGGACGGGGTAATCTCCAGCAGCCCCTTCCAGCCTCCCCCCATCCGTGTCTGCAGATGCTCTGCCACCTGCTCACGCTGTGCTGCTGGTTTCCAGGTGTGATCCGCACAGCCGTGGCTGACCTGGACCGTGAGACGCAGGACCGGTACGAGGTGGTGATCCGTGCAACGGACATGGCGGGACAGCTGGGTGGCCTGTCTGGATCCACCACAGTCACCATCGTAGTCACCGATGTTAATGACAACCCACCACGCTTCCCGCAGAGTAAGTCCTGACAGCGGTGGGGGTGAGCACTGGGCCTGGTCCTGCCTGCTGGGGGTGGTGGGGCAGGCGCTCAGCTCCCAGCACAGCCTGGCACATAGCTGCAGGGTCACCAGCCTGGCCACTTGTGCTGCTTGCAGGCAGTGCCAAGGTACTACAGCACACACTCCTTGCCTGGGTCTGAATGTGTCCCTGCCTGGCAGGGTGGTGGAGGGGCAGCTCCAATGATAAATCTTGCAAAGAATCAGACAACAGCGATTGCAGAGCACTGTCCTTATGGAGAAATCAGCCCGCCCTTCCCCCAGCACCTTGAAATATCAGTGCTCCCCAGTTATCTTGCCTCAGCCCTTGTTTTTGGCTGGGGTGTGTGTTTCTCCTGGTAGGGCGTTCTGGACTACAGGCACTGGTAGAGTTTGGGCAACCCTTGTAGTCCAAGGATGCCCCCAGAGGGGTGTGAAGGGCTGTGTCAGGCTGGATTGGGGGGGGGGGGGGGCGGTCAAAGGCAGAATCAGTGATCCTGGTATCTCTTTCTGCTCCAGAGATGTATCAGTTCAGTGTTGTTGAAACTGCCCCTGTTGGCACAGCTATTGGGAGGGTGAAGGCAGAGGACTCAGACATCGGGGAGAACACGGATATGACTTACCAGGTGAAGGATGAGGAAGGAGTGGAGATGTTCAAAGTTACCACAGACAGCAGTACCCAGGAGGCTGTCATCACAGTGCAGAAGGTGAGAGCTGAGGAGAGCTGGCTGGGTATGGAGGGCACAGATCTCTAGGAGGACCCTTTCTTTTGGGAGCTCTTGCTGCTACGTTTGAGTTGAAACGAATGGTCCTCTGCTCCTCAACTGCAGTAGCAGTTGAATTTTTGTGCTTGCAGATGCAGGGAGAGACCTGCCTCTGTTCTGCCTGGATGGCAAAGCTCAGACCTGTGCCTGGGAAGAGAGGCTGGACAGAAGCAGCAGGGCAGTGCCTGCTGGAGCCTGCCCAGGGCTCCCTGGGTGGTAGCGGAGGGAGTCCTGCATAGGTGAAGCTCTGTGTGGGTTTATGGGGAGGACTGCTGGCAGTTGTCACTAATAGCATCTGTGAGGGAAGAAATATGCCCACCCAATTCCTATTCTGACCAACAGCACTTTGACTGTCTGTGGTTTTGGTGGCAAAAACAATCAAGCAAACACTTGATGCAGGCAAGGAAGAATGATTGTTCACCAAGGCCACTGCTTTCAGCTCGCATCCCCTGGGGAAATAATAGCAGGGTGATTAATGACCAAAACCCCCTAGCAGCATATACTGTGCTGTCTTCCCAGTGAATCCTGGCTGCCTGCAGCCTGAACACTGTGCCGGGGGTAGCAGGCTGGAGGCTTCCTCCTGCCCCTTCTGCGTGGGCACAGTGGGAGCTCGGACTAGGGGAGTGGGTGGCTTTGATGGTGTCCCCGGTGTCTCTGGTGGTGGAAGGGGATCCCCTCGGCCTGGGTTCGGCTAACCCCCTCCTGTTGTCCCAGCCCCTCGACTACGAGTTGAAAAAGGTGCACACCGTTGTGCTGGAGGCCCTCAACAAGTTCGTGGACCCGCGCTTCTTGGACCTGGGCACTTTTCGGGACCAGACCATCGTGCGGGTCTCAGTGCTGGACGTTGACGAGCCCCCCGAGTTCCGGCCCCCCTCCGACCTGATGGAGGTCCAGGAGGATGCACACATCGGCTCTGTCGTGGGGGTGGTCACTGCCCTGGACCCGGACACCGCAAACCGTCCTGTCCGGTAAAGCATCACCTAAACCCCAGGGGGCGGGGTGACCTGGCAGGGATACACACGGCCTGGGGGCCGAGGGAGGTGGTGGCGGGGGGCAGTGTGGCTGACAAGTGACAAGGGCTGCACGCATGGCCGAGCTTGTGAGTGTCCCGTGGGACAGGCATTGTCAGGTGAGTGGCAGTCTGTGCGTGGCCAGAGCAGCCATCTCACAGGGGATGGGGACGTCACTGCCAGTGATGGGTGTGTGAGTGGCAAGGGAGTGTCGGGGAGGGTGGCAGGGGGGTGACGGCAAGCTCTTGCTGCTGACAGTGAGGTGTCTGCAGTGGGTGCCTGACACAACCAGGGGAGGAACCAGCAATGGCAGGAGGCAGTGACGGAGGGTGATAAACGTGGTGAGGCTTGGGAGGTGCAGAGCCACAGCTTTGCTGTGTGTGCTTGTGTGTGCATGTGTGCGCAGGGATCAAAGATCAGAGGAGTTTATATTTAGGCAGGGGACAGACTCCAGGCAGCAGCTTATCAGCAAAGGACATTTCCCATTTCCATTTAATTTGTGACTAAAGAGATTGTTACCTTGTTAAATTGCTACTACCTGAGGCCCAAAGCAGTTTCTGGCTCTGCCAACTGGCCTGAGGCATGAGCAGTTGGGCTGGAAAACTGGTGTTCAGAAACCGCCCTCAGTGTGTGGAAAGCATCGCCAGAGCGTGTGTTCTCGTGCCAGCGGCACAGCTGCAGGCGCGCTTCAAAGGGGCAGCAGCGCCTTTGCCTTTGAGAGCTCTGCAGGGAGCACATCCCAGGCAGTGGTAGACTGGGATGGAGGAGGACATGGCCAGGCAGGGCTCAGTTACAGTACTGATCCCTGTCAGTGATGTCCCCACATGGTTGCTTAGGGTGCTGGGGCTCCAGTGCTGTGTAGCCATGGAGAACACTCTTGTTCAAGGTGGGGTATGGGGTATCTCTTGATCTTCATGTAAATTAAGATTGAGACGCTTTATAAAGCTCCAAAAAGAACTTACACTTGGCAAGCTGCCATCTACAGATGCTTGGCAGCTTGCAGAGATTATTGTGTGTCAAGGCTGGGTGCTGGAAGTTGTCTTCATGGTGAAAGTGAATGAAATTAGCCTTGGCGTGCCAGGAACTACATGCACGTGTTGCAGCACTTCCAGTGGTCAGTGCTGTCTGTTGGATGCGTTCTCAAAGTACTTCTGCTCACCCTCTCATGTGGTTGCCCTCTTCATTCAGGCTACATATCTGCTTTCTTTGTGGCCTGCCCTGAGCACATGGCTGTTGGCTTGTGCTCTTCAGATGTGTGCAGTCTTTCTGCACATCTGTGTGTGTATACGTGTGCATGTGCTTTTTCACTTGACTATTTCTAGCAGTGCTACAGAACATAGATTTTATTTTCTGATCTGTAATTGTAGGAAAGGGGCCTTGGGGGCACAACTATTCGTATTCTTGTTTTCTCTTGTTCTTTGTGCTGCTTCCCTGTGGAGCTTGTTGCATTGTTTGCAGACACAACAAAAGAAAGCAGTGGAGGGAGTCTTTCTACTGCTGTGCAGAAGGTGGTGGGGACTCGGAGCAGAGAGAAGCAGACTCAAGTACTCCTTAGGTACAAGAGGGTTAGAGCCCAAACTTTGCTACGTGATTGTGTCTCTTACAGTGTGCTTAGTGCCAGACAAGGTAGTGCCTCAAGCTCAGGCACAAGGGCCCAGCCAGCAGGACTCCCAGGCGTCTGCTGCAGCTTGGGAATTGCAATGTGTTTTCCTGTGTCAGACCTGATGCATTCAAATGTGTGTCCTCCCTCCAGCTATCCCCAGGCAGGTAGCTCATCCTGCACCCCCCATGCTCCCCTGTGGCACTCGGTCTCTGTCTGTCCACCTCTTCACTCTGCTCTGTTCTTGCCATGCATCTCCTTGCTCCCCTGCCTGCTGTCGCAAGCAGCGGCAGCTCTGTGCCTTGCAGTACACCCCTTGCTTGCTGGGGTGCAGGTGGGTGACCCTTCTCTGCCATTTCAACATGGACTAAGTGGAGATGCAGGTTTATATCGGTCACACTGACATGGCACCAGTGCAGAAGGAAGATGCTGTTGGATCTCTCCTGCTTTCCTTCTCTCTGGCTAGCCCAGCAATTTAATAACATATTTTGCCATGTAGGCAGCTGTTCACAGCTTCAGAATGATGCAAGAACATTAATGCAGGCATCCTGCAGCACCCTGCCAGGTGACACTAACCCATCAGCAGGAGACTGCAGTAAGTCACCTCACATTTCAAGTGTTCTACTCCAAAGTACAGTCACAAGAAGTCAGCACTTGTACTTCACCTCTGATACATCAGAGGGCAACCGGTCCTGACAGCATGACCAGTATTTGATCCTTGGCTCCTTGAAGTTAGAATGAACCCTTTCAAGTTGCTACAGTTCAGTGGATCCCTTTAACTTCCTGATCCTCGTATGCCAGAGGTGGGAGCAAAGACGTGGCTGTGTTTCTGCAGTGGCTGCTCTCTCTTGGACTCTGATGCATGTGTTGGCTCTGCCCTGTAAACAGGGGAGAGCCACAACCTTCTGTTGACACACTCTCCCCTTGAGTCAGGAAAGAGCAAGGATTGGCAAAGACAGCAGAGCAGAAATCAGCTCTGTCAGTGTTTCCAGGTCATGCTGACACCAGGCTGCCAATAATGAGGTTTGGAAGTATTTTTAGCCAAATGGGAAAAGAGATGCCCTTGGCTCTTTGTTTCCATCCCTAGGCCAGCACAGCAGGGCTACTGCTGTACCACCTGGCCTGAAGCAGCTGCTGGAGGCATGTTTCAGCCTGGGGCTCCCCTCCTGGTGATCTGCTTGTCCCACAAGGGTGCAGACGCTTTGTATGAGAGCAAACCCCTTCCAGACAAGCCAGACTTGGCCCTGAGGCACTGCTCGCTGCCCCATCCAGCTGCATCTGGGTGTAGAGCCCCTGGCAGCCGCTTGCCCAGGTGGGAGGAAAGCTGGGGCTCAGGGTGTCCAGGGAGCACTCCACTGCTCTGGGCATGTTTGTCCCCAGCTTGTGGCTGCTCAGAGGGGGACTCGCTCCCTGCAGCACCAGGGCTGTGAAGCAGGGGGCAATGCACAGGTGCTGCATCTTGTGGGAACACGGAAACCCTCCATGGTAGAGGCAGGAAATGCCTTTCTAAAGGGCTAGTGCTTTTTATTTTATTCCATCCTTGTTTGTTGCCTAACAAAAGCTGGAACCACTCTCTTTCAGAAGGAGTTTAGCTTCCAGTTGGCTTTTTGTCTTTAGCTGTACATTTCCTGGGTGTACTGCATTTTTTCCCAGCTAAGCCATTGTATGAGGTAATACAATGATAGACTGACTGTGTATGTGAGGCTGTTTGTATGGGAGCCTTTTGTTTTTCTCTCTGCAGTGGGAGCCTGTGCTTTGATTGTGTGCAGTCCAGGCTTTATCAGCACTGGAAAGATGTTGCTTAGGATTTAAGGTTCTTGGAGATATTCTTGTTCTGCATTCACCAAATCCGGACACATGTGTTGGACATGGGCATTTTGTAGACTCCAACAGCACAGCAAGAACTACAACCTGCTTCAACACAAAAGGGAGAGGAGGAAAAAACCAAACACAACAAAAAGCTTTTCACACTGTGTTTGAAAAGCTCCCTGTTAACAAAACACATGGCATAAAATGTGCTCCTTGTTGCATTCAGGGAGGAGAAGTGAAACAAACTGCTTGAGAAATGCATTCACAAGAAAGATGAGCACCGAGAAAGCTGTCTAAATTAAATAGTCACTTGTAACATCCAAACCAACAGGCAGTACCAGCAGGACGAGAGGAAAATGGATTACAAGGTCTGCATCCCAATCAGAACTGGGCAATGCAGCTCCAGATGCGAAGCACCAGCCAGCTTTAGGAGGAACAAGTATATGTCCTATTTCTGAGTACCTGGAGGACCCAGGGGTTAATCACTACCTCTTCCTAGGTGAGAAGCACTGTTTGAGTTTAATGGGATGGGTGAATATGAAGCTGGACGACCAGAGGTGGAGAGGCTTGTGATGGTCAGCACAGTCTTGAGTTGGTAAAGATCATACTGCACAGTGATGTAAACTGAGCACAGCACCAGCTTCTCACTCTGCCTTTCTAGCACCTGAGCTCTCTGGAGTCTGTCCTGTGTAGAGCAGTGTGGATTGGTTGCTCTGCAGGTCTGAGCCTGTTATGGCTGTGGCTTTGGGGGGAGGGTGGACACCCCTGTGCCCTTCAGTCCCCATCTCCTCAAGCTCGAGAGCCTCCACAGCACTTTGTGCAGATGGGGAGCTCCTGGACTAACCACTCCAAAATCCCAGCATGTAGAAGCAGGCTCAGCCCTGCTCTCATGGTGATGCAGACAGTGCTGGCACAGTGTTGTGAAGGTGACAGCTCTCTGTACTGGTGGTGACAAAGGGACCAGATTTGCGGTTTGTGCCCTGCCAGGGCCATGGGCAGTCAGTCCTCAGCAGGCAATTAGGAAGTGACAGAAGACAACCTCAGCAGCAAAACAATTAGAAGCATAAGAAGAGGTTACCAGTGGCATGACACAGAGCACTCCCCTCCCAGCCTCCTGCCCTCTGGCCATGCAGGCAGCCACTCTCAGATGTTTCCAGGCTCAGGGATGTCTCCCATCACTGTTTTTTTGTGTGCAGCTATTTTGTCCAGCCATTTCTGTTTACGCAGCAATGACAGGAGTGTGAACAGAACAGGCATGTGCTTACCCAGGAAGCAAGGAAGGCATATGGAGAGTGAAGTGCTATCCCGAACTCTATTAAAAAGTGGAATGGAAGACAGTGTGGGATCAGGTGATGTGGGAAAACAATGGAAGCAGTTATGCAAATGCATCAGTTATGCTATGGGAAAGATATTAGGTATTGTCATCCTCATTTCTGCTCCTCCTTCCTGCAGCACATTGGGCTGATGTGTACAAGTCAGAGTGGCCAGACCTCTCCTTTCCCTTTGTAGTGAGTGAGAAGAGTGGAGGAGGGGCTGCAGTACCTCCCAAAACAGGCACTGTCCCTTCTGGAGCTGCCTACCTGCCTGCAGAGGCAGTTTCCAGCTGGGAGTTGGAGCAGAAAGTGCACAACGGTTAGGAAGTCCCTGGCAGTTGGTTCAGAGGTGCCTAGGCTTGTACCTGGCTTTGGGTGGCAGATCCCCATTACCTCTAGATGCCAGAAGGGTGGAAGAAGTCAGACACATAGGTGTAGAACACGTGAAATTGTGTATGTACCCAGACACAATTTCCATAGTAATTTTTGAACGTTCTTCCTTAACTACAAGCAAGTGCTGTTGTATTTTCTCCTCCCTGTATCTGAAAGGGAGAGTGCTGTAATCTGGGTCTGTATAACACTTTCAATAGCATAGAAATGCCTTTGTATGTACCTCCAGCAGAGATGGAGCTGCCTGGCTGTGGGGATAGGTGCCCTCAGGGACACATTCTCATCTGCAGCTAGTTTCCCCCCAGGGTACAGAAAGGCACTTGAGGTCATCAGTGCCTCTCTAGAGCAGTGGTCCCTGCATGCAGGTGAGCTGGTTGGTGTTCCTCAGCTGCAAGCCATATGGATGATAGAAACACAGGCCGCAGCTGGACTGTGCCAGGTGAGGTGCAAGCACTAGGAAGCTGCCTGCAGTATGCCTCCACTTTCCTGGATGTGCTTTGAGCCTACAACTGTCCTGCTCTGCTCCCCTTGTCTGATGCGGCCTCACAGTACTGTCCTGTCTCGTTGGCTTTCCAGCTTGCTTTGTCCATACATTTATCTTCCCTCTATTGTTAGACAAGTGACTGAAGGCTTTAGTATATTCACAGTCCTCCTTTTGATAATTTGTCCTTTGTACTCTTTGCTGTCTTGTATTATCTAATTCTGTAAGGCGCTCTGGGATGCCGTGTGTGTGAAAGATGCTATACACGATAACATTATACTGTATCGTTTGCAGTTTGTGCAATTCCCATTGCAGTGGTGGTGGTTGTTATTTGTGCACAATCAGGTGTGTGCTTATTGGGGAGGGGATGGGAAGGGAAGTGCGATCCAGCTGAGACCCTCAAGCACAACCTCAGCCTACTTGTGTGCTGCTGTGCTGTCCTCCAGTTCTCTCACTTGGGTGGGTGCTGTGGCAGGATCAGGAGAGAGGGTGGGAGGTGAGGTGGGCTCCTCAAGCCAGGATGGCCTGTTCTGGTTTGGGTTGATGTTTTTCCTGAACCTATAGCTCACAAGCTTCCCTGAGTAATAAGTTACAGGCCATGGCTTTTATGCCACTCTGTCTATCCTGAGCAAAATGTTCCTATCAGAGTGGGTTTTTCCGCTTGTCCACAGTCTGTGCTTAGTTCCACTTCATGCACTGAAAGCCACACTTTAATTTGCTTGAGGGCTCTGGGCTTGCAGCCTGGTAAAACCATGGCTCTTGTGCACCATGCTGCAGCAGAGGAAAAGTGACAGTGGTAATAGAGCTGCTTGTGTTAGATCCCTGTTCTCCTGGGGCTGATGGCAGGTTTGGGCTTGGCACTTTCAGCTGTTCACAGTTTCCCCTTTTGCCTGGTCTCAGGTACGCCATCGACCGCAGCACAGATGCAGAGAGGATCTTTGACATCGATGCCAACACAGGTGCCATTGTGACAGGAAAGGTCCTGGACCGGGAGACAGCAGGGTGGCACAACATCACTGTCCTGGCGATGGAAGCAGGTGAGGTGGGAGTGCTGTGTGGAGCGGACAGTCTGTGCTGGGCCAGAGTGGGGCAGAGGGCAATATGCAGGTCTGTGCACTGTGGAGGTGACCAAGATGCAAGTGTTAGTTAATGCTGAGGCAATAAATAAATGCAGCAGCACCGAGCCTGACATCTCCCTAGACAACCTAAAAATACTCTTCCTGACTCGAACGCTAATAAGGGAGCGTGGTCGAATAGTATATTTGATGAACTCTAATCAAATCTGTGTTACCTGTGCTCTGGCTCTGCCAGTCATCCCGTGCAGCCTGCCCCTGTGCTCACCGAGTGTCACTGGGGCTCCCGGGGGGCTGTGTTCAAGTCACCTGCATCCGCCACGTGCTGGGGTGATGCTCTGTCAACTGGAGCCCTGTGGCACAGATGGCTTCTGCTGGGCACTCACAGCGGGTGGGATTTGCAGCCTTATACCTGCACATCATGTCTGTGGCTCTGGGTGCCTCCCTGCCTGCTGTGTGGCTGCAGGCTTGGCAAGGTACAGTGAGGAGTGGATGGGAGGTCCCGGCACTGAAGCAATGGAAAGGGACTGCAGGAGCAATATCCTGAGACCCTGTGCTGGGAATGGGGGGCAGTGATGGTGCCAGAGTTGGTACTGCCAGGCTGCTGTGGCTCTGGCTGCAGTGCTTGGCCTCACCCTGCAGCCCACCAGGAAGAGCTTCAGGCAGAGGATGAGGTGAAGCTTTCTGTCTTTTCTGCAATTAGCTTCTTTCTGACCCTCCCATGAGAGCCCTGGTGATGGGCTCTTCCTTCCCTGTGGCTGTGCAGTCCTTTAGCCTGTGTTTACAGCAAATGCCAAACCTACTCCTACCCAGCTGGGAAAGCCGGGAGGGAGCATCTCAGTGGCTCTGCAGGTTTTGTCAGTTTATCTTCCCTCTGTGATGGGGGTGGTGGAGCCCAGCATGGACGCTTCCAGCAGAAGTTCTGTTTGTCTTTTCTTCTCCAGTTCAGAAAGAAAAGAACAAACCTGGGTCCTGCTGCTCAAAGGAGCTCTGAATAGACTCCTTTTGAGGAATGAAAATAAAATAATAGCAGCAAAGAGCAGGCTTTGCTTCCCCCCAGGGGTTTTGCTGGGGGTAGGAAGCTGCTCTGGGCATCCTGCTGCCCTCCACTGTGTTTGCACAGTGCCTTGGCTCATGGGCTCTGCAGGTCCCATGTGTGATGGTGCATCTGGCCCCTTGCACCCCACGGAGATGCTCTGTCTTACTCCTTAAGCCTGCAGATGGAGAAAGGGCTTCATCCGAGGCACTGCTGGGAAGCACAGTAGGAAGCAGAAAGGCATTGCTGTATTCTTTGAAGTTTTCCACATTTTGGACACAGTAGTGGCCAGGGCACTGGCACCTGCAGTGCTTTGCCACCCCACAGCTGCAAAGCACCTTCTGACATCTGCAAAAGCATGCCAAGACCTATCTGTCTGCAGGCAGGAGCCTTCCCCAGGCTTTGCTCCAAGAGACCCCTCAGGAGTTCTGGTGGTTCTTTCTTTGCTTGCTCTTGAGCAGGAAAATGCTGTTCAGATTCAAGGAGTTGGGTCAGGGCTTGGCTCAGGACACAGAGATCGGTTCCTGCTGCCCTGCCATGGTAATCATCTGCCCTGGCTGGGCAAGAGCCCAGGCCCTGCTGCCCTAGGAGAGGAAGGGGACTGCATGTCCCAAGCCCCTCTCTGTGCTGATGCTTTGTGCCTCTGGCCAGGGTGCGCTGCTGGGCTGTGGTGCTGTCATGAGCCCTGCCCGGCATCAGGCAGCAATGGGCAGGCAAGGAGGGGACCACAGCATTGCAGCACAACTCAGCATCCAGAGGAAACACGAGGTGACAAGAATCAGAAGGACAATATTTACACACAGTGGCTGGGATTTCAGAACAAGTCAGTAAATGCTGCAGCTCCCCTCTGGCAGGGAAGCCTGTCATGCTGGATTGCTTCAAAAGCCAGCGAGACTCTTCAGCGCTCTGACTTCTCCTGTGGTGAGCTCTGACTCATCCATTTTAACTGCCCAGACGTTCCTCCCACTGACATTATCCTTAACGTTTTGTAATCATGAATTATTAATGACTGATATTGAATTTAAAGTACAATTTATGTCTGAATCCTCTGGTGGAAAGGGCAGTTGTAAAGGTACAGCCGCCCAAGTGATGGAGCGGGGTTTTGGAGAGGGGCTCAGCACGGAGTGGACACGGGGCTGGCAGAACCGCTGGCACTGGTGTGTCCTTTGGTGTGTCCAGTGTGGCAGTGCCTAGCACACGGTGTCTGGGGCTGGGGGACTGGTGGGGCCCTGCGCATCCTTGCCATGGGCGTGCGGGTTGCAGCTGACTGCCATAGGCTCTGCTGTGAGGCCAGGCAGGACGTTACCAGCTCCGGCAGAGGCAGATGGTAAAATACCCTTCCTCTTTCCTTGGTGAGATGTGAGCTTTGCAGAAGGAATGAATTGAACTGGTAGGTTCACTCCATTCCTGCCTGCTCAATTCCTGTTGGGCTGTGCCCCTCAATTCCCACAGCGCACATAGCATGGAGCATGTTGCACCAAGGTTTTGCCTCCCTGCAAGCTCCTCAAGCTGCTCGCCCTGTCAGCTGGCAGGACTGTCTGGAGCAGGGTTTAGCTGATGGAAAGCTTGCCCACAGGCAGCCTGTCTGTTAGGCTTGAGCAGCCTTGGAGAGCCCTGCCTGGGACCTGGTGCTGCTGCAGCAGAGACCGTGTCCAGGGTGCATGCCCCACCAACACATAACTAGAGAGCATGTGTGCATCTAAGGAGCGGTGCTAAGAAGCTGCAGAAGGTGTCTGGCTGTAGCTGTGAGGTCACTGGGCTGGGGGCCGCAGGCAGGATGAGGAACAGGACCCCCGTGGAACAGGCACTCGCGAGCATGAGCTTCCTCAGTGGCTTGTGACCAGCATTATGCTTGGCCTCGAGACATGGCAGCCAGCACGAAGCATGGAGCTGTTCAGCCAATCTGGCTGGGACCAGGCCAAGCATTCCCAGAGATAAATCTTCATCTCCCTTGCAAGCTGTTTACCTTCCTTGGGCTAATATTAGTGATTCTCTTCCTGTTTTCATCTTTGCTCATGTAAAATGATGAGGCTTTGACTGCTGTGTCCACTGCTGGTAATTGAGATGATAAATCTTCCTGCTGGAGTCTGGCTTTAATCAGAGCATTGTGTTTGGATGCGATTTAATGACTCTCATGCTGCTGAGTTTGGGCAGGACTCTGGAGAGGTGAGAGCCATTTATATATCACTTGGCTTAACTGCTGCTTCCACTTTGCTTCCCCTCAGCTGGGAGTCACGTTTTCAGCTCCAGCCTCTGATGTAGCTGCTGTGTCCGAGGAGTGGTACTCCTGGCATGCTCCTGCTTTGTCCTTGCCATCGGAGCTGGGCTTTGCAGGCAACTGCACCGACATCTCCAAAAGCACCCAGCGCTTCACAGCCATGGCGTGAGTGCTGGGGAGCAGAACGACCCATCGCAGCCTTCCATTCTGCAGTTTGTTCTCCCAGTTTGCCAAGATAGCAAGAAATAAATTCCACCCCTGCCTCTTCTTCCCTGCTAATGTGAACATTTTCAACTCAGTGCTGTACCAGTGTGGTCTCGATGCAGAAGAGAGCAGGTCGCATGCTGCGCACAGCAGCATCCATGAGCTGTTTTTGCAGGTGCTCTGGGCTTTACTCAACCTGTGCTTCAGAGCCAGGGAAGCTGCAGAGTGCCTTTCTGGGTGTGATGTCGCTGCATGGCCACGTGTGCAGGCAGGAGGGCAACTGCATGTGTGCCTCAGCAATGGCTGAGTTTGGGGCTTCACGGCAGAGGTCTGGGTGTAAAAATGAAAAGTGTTTTAGTGTGAGTTTGTGTAAGGGTCTGGTGGGGTCAGGACCGGATCCCACTGCAGCCGTGACCGCAGGTCTCTTCTTTTCCTGCCATGGCAGGGTGGCCAAGGATGTCAGCAACCCCTTCCCATCACTGCCAGCTCTGCTGCAAAGCTTTCAGCATTTGAGAGTAGTTTCTTGGGACAGGTTGATGTTGGTCCTGCAGAACCCAGGGAGAGGACACGCTGCTGATGCTCTGCATCCGAATGTTTTAGACAACAATATTGTCCTGTTCAGGTTATTCTCATGATCAGTTAACTTAAGAAAAACCACTTTGGGATGTGGCTGAAGGTTCGGCTGGTCTGTTTGAGTCTGCCTGTAGCACTGAGGCAAGTGCCACTGCTGAGCATGGGAGCAATGGGTGGCAGAGCTCCATCCCCTGCCCTAGCAGGCTCCAGTGGTTCTGAAATAATTCAGCCTGTGTTGGCAAAGGCAGCTGCCAGTCCTCAGCCCGAAGCTCCCGTAGCGCACTGCTGTGCTTCCAGCATTTCCCCCTTCTTCTGTGTATTTTCTATGTCTCTTTCAGATTAATAGCATTCCAGCTCCTGAAGGAAATGCAGAAAAATGGCATGTTTAATTTTAATTTAGGAAAGCGTTTAGGTAGCAGCCTGGTTTCCTCGCTGCTGTCAATCAGGTTTTCTCAAGGCTGACATCAATTAGTTTAAAAATATTGAATGTAATTTTGCCTGACACAACATATTGCAGCCACTGCAAAATATAATTTATTTTAGAAGAAGAAATAATTAAACTAATTTGCATGTCAGTCAGCTGAGCTGGGATACGGAGGAGAGGCGCTGCAAGGGAAGGTCACTGGGCTTCCTCTCCCAGCGCGCTTGGCCCAGCCCATGCAGCCTCCACCACTCACTGGCCACCTGCTGCTTGCAGAGCCCTTCCAGGGTTGTTTCTGTGCCATCCCGTGGCCCCTGTCCACCCAGGACATTAATTTCTGTGTGCTGCAGCATGTGAAGAGGTGCGTGCACACAATTGGTGTGCACATAGTGGAAGCTTTTGGCTTTGCACATCATGCCTTTCATCACAGGCGTACTCCAACAGTCTGAATTGCACTTCTGACCATCATAAAATCAGTTTATGCCACATAGTTACAGAAAGTACCTCTCAGATGTTTTGGAGTTAACTTTTCTCAAATACATCTAACCATATTTTATATTTTCTGCCCATAAATCCAGGTAGTGGCTCAAAGGAAAGGGGGAAGTTGATAAGTAAAGCATTTGAGGAACCTTCAAATAGATTACAGTCCAGCCAAAATAAGAAGAAGCCAATGTGTGCTTCACTGAAAGAGTAGAAAATCATGCAGTGATTGCATTTTTAACCTTGATGTTCCTGGAGATGACAAATTTTAACCCTGTCACTGAGCCATGAGTAAGTGTGAGCCTCAGGGTTCAGCAGCTTCAGAAGGGGCAAAAGGAGAGGGGTTTTATGACAGGACAATCGTGCTTCAAGCTGTGCTCAGGGGAGTGGGATGTTAGTTATGGCTCTGGCAGAGGGGTTGGTGTGGGTCCTTGGCACTGGGGCATGGCACTGGGCCATGGCACATAGATGACCCCACTCGTGTGCGTGCCATAAACCATTCCTGGCAGCTGCTCACTGATGATGGGGATGGGGCTAGGCCTATGGGTACGTCCAGCTCTAAAAGTACTGGCCCTCCTGATGGGGCTGTGAGAGGTCTTGAAGGGAAGTGGCTGTGCTCAGGCTCACCCAGAGTCCAGCTTGACCCCACAGAGCCCCCATGGATGTGCTGTGCCAAGAGGTCCTGGGGATGCTGGGCAGCACTGGGATCGGCTCCCGCTCACAGCTTGAGCACTCTGGGGCAGCGCGGGAGGAACTGCTCCTCCCGGTTGTGCTTAGGAAGGGAAAGAGATGGGGTCCTCCCTCCTCTTTTTGCCTTTCCTAATCATTCTCTCAGCAGTGCCTTCAGGGCAATGCCAGCCTGCTCAGAGCTTAGCAGCAGGGATGGCTATCCATCTGACTGCAGGCTGGGGAGGGGGTGATGAGATGCTGTTGTCCTCTTTGCAGGAACTGAGCCCTTTTTCCCTCCTCATCTGTGGCCCCGTGGCCATCAAGCACATCTCCTCCACCTCCCCCGGATCCCTTCCCACCCCGCTGCCTCCCCCTTGCTCTATCCCTGAAAGCAATTGCGGTTTACTTCACTGCACCAACATGCCTTTTAAAATAACACATAGTTCCAGGCTTTTAGTCACGACTTCTGCCTCCCTCCCCCAAATCTAATCACTGGAGCAGCTGGTCTGGGTGAGAGGGAGTGATAACGTGAGAACAGGGTGAAGGCAGCTCAGGGGAGGGGGCTTAGGTTCCTGGCTAATTATGGAGCAGCACTAAATCTCCTCTCCCCTGGGTTCTCCCCCACCTGATCTGGGGGGGGGCAGCATTAATTTCATAGGCAAACAGGCAGCAGAGCTCCTGCCTGAGCGAGGGGAGAGGCATCAGGTCCGTCACAGTTGCAACCTCTGGGTAAAACAAAGGAGATGGAGTATGAGGGAGTTCTCATTTCTGGAAGCGCATGAGGTGCTTCAGAAAACATTAGGCTCTCCGGAGTGATTTATAACCTTAGAGCCGAGGGCTCAATGTACCTTTGCAGCAGATGCCTGCGCTGGAGCAGCACTGCAGTGAATGGAGCTGTAGATGCAATCCCTGTCCCGTGTGCCCGGAGCAGCACCAGTGGGCGCAGCCCTGGCCCAGCAGCTCCGTGCCCCAGGAGAGGGGAGATCCGGCTGCGGCCCCGGGGCTGGTGAGTGTGGGGTGCCCTTGGTCTTGCTGCATGACCCCCTGCACCAGCTGGCAAACGGTGCTGGGCTCAGTGCAAGCTGCTGATGGCAGTGCAAGACCAGGGGTCAGTGTGCAAGGCCCGGTCCCAGGGGCCCTGACAGGCAGCGCTCACCTCCAGGTCACTTCCATGTGCTGGAGGTGCTCATGCCAGGTCTGATCACTGCCCTGTGCTCTTGGCTGACCCTAGGTCTTTCTTACCCCGGCTCTGCTCACTCGCCTCTCAGCTGCTGCTGCTAACCCCTGGGTTGTGAGGGTCAGGATCCAGTCAGGGTGTGATGTCCTCACACCCGGGTTTGCTCAGCCTTTCCAGGGGTAGATCAGACCACGAGCAGTATTTTGGGAGTCCTTGTTACTCGGCACAGCTCACTCTTTGCTGCAAAGCAGAGTGGTGAGATTGCGGGTGCCCACAGGAATGGTCTGTGCCGTGGGTGCAGTGGGACCCTCTGTGCTGGCAGCAGCTGCGTGACTGCGATGGCCTCTGGATGGGCAGGGGTGAGGAGGGTTTGCTCCCTGCTAGCAGCAGATGGCACTTCCTGCTGAAGCTCTGCTTCTTTCTGTGTTTCAGATAATCACTCACAGGTGTCGAGAGCCTCCCTCCGTATTCGTATCCTGGACGTGAACGACAATCCGCCTGAGCTTGCCACCCCATATGAAGCTGCTGTGTGTGAGGATGCCAAGCCAGGCCAGGTAGTGGGTATTCCCCAGCCCGTCTCCCAGTTTTCCATCAGTGCCTGCAGTACTCTGGACCATGCCAGCCTGCCCATTCTTCCCCTTCTGCCTGAGCATCTTCCCATGCAGCCACCGTCACGGCTTTGCTGGTGTTCTACAGCTAAGCCCATCTGTGGGGCAAAGGCTTGTCCCTTGCTGTGGCAGCAGGCAGCGATGCTCTGCTGAGCTGGACCTGGTGAGCAGGGGCCATGTGCATGGCTGCAGAGGCAGCACTGACAGTCACCTCTGCTTTCTTCCCACAGCTGATCCAGACAATAAGTGTTGTGGACCGTGATGAGCCTCAGAGCGGCCATCGCTTCTATTTCACACTAGCACCTGAAGCCACCGACAATCACCACTTTTCTCTGCTCGATATCAAGGGTAAGCCCTGCTGCACCCTTCCCAGTCCTGTTGCCTGTGGGCTGGGTGGCACTGCTGGCCATGGGGAGGGAGGCAGAGCTGTGGGCATATGGTCCATCTATGCCGATGGAGCTGAGGATCCTCCAGGCACTCCACAAGGCTCCTTTGCCTACCTGGAATGGTGGGACAGGTCAGCTAGCAGATTGGATTTCCTCAGGGAGGCTCCGCTAGCTTCCTGCTCTGCTGCCGAAGCTCCGAAGCTCCGAAGCTCCAAAGCTCCTCTTGCACTGTCTCATTAGGCTTTGTGTTTTCAGGGCCCTCGGTCCCTTTCTTGATGCAAAATCTCCAACCTCCCTGAAGGCAAGGACATGATGTGGATTTACAGATGAACATGCTCCCATTTTGAGCATTGTGATTTATCTGTCTCCAAGGTAAATCCTCGAGTGCCGGTCATCCCAGGTCTGCCGTGCAGGGGGCAGCCCCTGTGCCTCGACACAGGCTCAGGAGCCTGCAGCAGCCGTTGGGGTTATCTGGGATGTGACCAGAAGAGCCGGATCCGCTGTTAGGTGTTACCTGGGATGTGGCCAGCAGAGCTGGATCCCCTGTTTAGGTGGTGGCTCAGGAGTACCGTTCCTCTGGGAAGCTCCCGGTTCTTTGCACTTCTGGGCTGGGGGGCTCCCCATGATCCCAAACTGCCGATGTAACCAACAGGCTGTGACGCAGGATTTTTCTGGCTGAGCTCTCGCTTGTGGACTGCAGGGTCAGGCTGTGTGTGTGTGGACAATAACAACCCAAACCCTGTTATCAGGCTGCTTCGTATTTTTGACTGGGGTTTTGGGTGAATTTAGGTGCTGATTGCAGCAGTAAGTACAGCAGGGACCTTTGCAGGTACTGGGGTTTTATCCAGCCAGATATGTACTTTCTTGCCAAAGGAGCCAGCCCAGATGGAAACCAGCGAATCACATTAAAATACTTCTTTGTTTTCTAAACCCTTTTTCCCTATGTTTTTGCAGTTTCATCTATCAAAAGTCTGATTTATTTTGTTCTGAGCTTATCAGAAAAACCTTCTGCTGACATAAGATCGTGCTCACTCAGTTTGCTTCAGCATTATTAGGGATAGTCAAAACAGAGTTTGCACCAGAAAGCTTCAGACACAATCATAGAAGGACCGGTAATGCTTCATGTCCTAAAAACTGCCACTGTCCCTGACCCAAGTCCCTCCCTGGCACTCTGGGGCAGCTGTTCTCACAAGACCTTTGCTTCTTATCATCTAAGCAAGCTTAAATCCTTTGCAAGCTTTTGCCCCACGCCCAGTGATTAACTTGCCCGAAGGACCTTGTGAAGATGTGCCTAAGCGCCCAGATTCCACCCTGCTGCCCATCCGCACCAGAGCTCTCTAGGAGCTCTGAGGAGGGCGGGGCTGCACCCGCTGCTCTGAGCCGTGGCTGCTGCTCCACCTGCCCAGCAGGAGGGACCTGTCTGGCCTCGGTGGGGGCTGCCGGCTCCCGGTGCAGCACTGGGAATGGGCACTGCAGGAGGGCGCAGGACATGGGCTCGTGTGCCGCTGCCTCCTCCAGAGCTGCTGCTCTCTTGAGTGGGATGAGGCTCTCGTTGCACCTTCGTGCTAAACGATCCCACAAACTCTGCATGTGGTGCAACACTGCATAAAATGAGTGAAAGCTGGCATCACCTCCCGCCTTCTGCTCTTGGGAAAACAAATGCTGTTGCTGCAGGGTTATTCCCAGGGTGCTTGGAGACCCTCCCAATTGCCAAGCAGTGCTGTCTTCCACGGCAAGAGGAGGCAGCTGCCTGCGCAGATGGAGGCACCTCTCACTTCTAACATGCATGTGTTTTAGTGCTATCTCCTTTCTTTTGATTCCTTCCCCCTAGTCCATTGAGCACCTAAGTGTGCTCACCTTCACTCCCTGCCCTCCCGGGTTCCTTTGCTGCATCCTCTTTTGTTCCCCCTCTTGCACTTGGCTCTACTCCTCCATATAAATATCAGTGGTGACAAACTGCTACCACCAGCCCATCTGTTTCTTCGTACAAATTTGTAGCCAGTTTTGAAACGTGATTTATAAATATTGCTTTTGCAGCCAAGGAGTGACACTGATGGATGTCAGCACAGATGGACTCTCTAAGCTTTGCTTAAACCCTCTCTTTTCCTTTGCACCTACTTCCCTCAGCCCCTGCAAGCCATCTCAGGAGGGTGATTTGTCCTCAGTGTGGTAGAGATTAGCATCCGCTTGGGAAAGCTCCCGTTACCGTTCTTCAGGCAGAGCAAGAGCCCCAGGCTGCGGCAGGGCTAGCAGCTGGGAGCACCAGTGGCTGCAACAGTGCTGGGCTCTTAGAGGGCTCCTCATGGAGTGTGGAGGAAGCCTGCAAGGGTTTTGGAGAAAGCCCAGGGTGATGGATGGGGCAGCCTGTCCATCAGATGGTGAACTTGAGGATGGACTACCTGCTGGTAAGTGTGGTGGCCACAGGGCAGGTCTGCTGCAGCCTGATACACCATGATATGGTCACAGTGCTGCTGCTCACCCAGACCCCACTGGGTCAGGTCCCGCTGCAGCCAGAACAGCTCGCAGTGGGGGTGGCCCTTGCAAGGTGGCTGCAGTGAACATCTGCAGCCCCGTTCGTCACCTCCCAGCAGCACCCAGAGCTGCCTCTGATGCTCCAGTTCAGGGATACAGGAGCAAAGGGTGACCCTGCAGGAAACTGCATTAGCTGCTTTAGAGCCACTTTGCACAAGTCAGGCTTTTAGCAACACTACCATTTCCTGTGGGTATCTCTCCTTCCTTGATCTTGCTCTGTCCAAGGGAGTGCTCAAGCACTTCCTAATTCATCATGCAAGGAATAAATGTGTCATGTGTGGTAACAACAGCCGCAATCCAGAAGGAAGATGCCCAGCAAATTAAGGACCTTAAGGAAGAGATAAAACTGGAAAAGCTGACCTCACCCAGCTCCAGTTGGTGCAATTCCAAAGGCATTCACCATCCTCTGCCCCCCGACTTGCCTTCTGCTGCATCTTTCTGGCTTGAGAAAATTGATTACAGCAGGATCAAAGGCGATTAAAGCCTGAAATCATATTCTCCAAGAGATGCTAATTGTGTTGGAAGGGATGGTAGAAAGCATCTAAGCCCAGCAACCTGGAGGGGGTGGTAGATAATATGGAGTGACACATGGAGCTACTGACTCCAGAGCTCAAGGGCTAGGCAAGCAGATGTCTGAACTCTCTGCAGGTCTCATTAAGAGTATGTAACGGGTGATAGAAGATCTGAAAATCCTAACAATCAAAAGCAAAATGTTAGGATTCCGGGTTTGCCTCCCGATAGAGGAAGCCTCCTCCAGCCCCGCAGGGATGTTGTTGTTAGCATGAGCAGCTCAGACACTGGTCTGACAGTGAGGTGAAAAAGAGCATCGAGTCTCTGTGGGGCTGAGCAAAGGCAAGGAGCAGGAGTGGTGCGGTCTGGCCCAGAGAACCTGCGAGAAGGAAGAGGCAAAAGAAAAGAAGCAGATTCTTGTCCTGCAGCTGCTCCTGCCTGGGGCTGGAGGCGTCTGCACGCACCTCCCTGGAGCCGGCGTGCCTGGGCACCGGAGCTGCAGAAGGGCTGCCAGAGCAGGGAAAGGCACATGCTGGGGGGGTCCCGGGGCAGGGGAGAGGGCACGGATGTCAAAATCCAAACTGGAGGTAGCTTGCTCCCTTCTGGTCTCCTAACACTGTTCAAGATTGAGTTATGGGAAGAATTCATTATTTCTATCTTTGAAGCTGCCAAGAGCCTCTTTGGAGAGGGAGTCTGAGAGGCAGAATTCCTGTATTTCTCCTAGAGTACCACCAGAGTATATTGCATTCTTGAGCTTTCCTCTTGCAGCAGTACACTCTTTTGTAGGAGGTTTGGATGCATTTTCCCAGATCTGGGCAAAACTTTCTTTACGTCTATGGTCAAATAGACTACTCTGCATGGCAGCAGCAGTGCTTTTTCTGGAGTATCTCAGAAGGAAACACAGAAGAAGTTTGGGAATAACAGGGGTGTAACTATGGGACAGAGAAGAGTTATCCAGGTGCTTAGGGAGCCTGGTGGCCAGCAGGGAGGTAGCTAGAGCCATCCCAGCGCCTGCAGTGGTCTGGTCTCAACTGGACTGGGGTCTGACTGGCCAGCCTTGGTAAAGCAACATCATAGGTGAAGGTGTGAAATTCCTGTGGATCTCCATCCTGTAGGAAGTGCTCACATCACCTTGTTCAGGAGAAAATGGTATTTGAAATAGTGTTCTGTAGTTGTAATGTTTCTCTCTCTCCCTAGCTCAGGTTTGGGGTTACGGGGCAAGGCTCAGCCCCTCCTGAGCTGAGGTTTCTCAGAGCAGAGCTGTCTGTTGTGCTGCTGATGTATTTAAGTACTAGCTGCTTTGTTTTCACTTTGAGAGTTCAGCAGTGACAATATTTCTCCTTCCCGTACTTGGCGGTGAGGGGCTCGGTGGTGCGGTGTGCTGCCTGAGCGGCTCAGCTGAGCGGGGGTCAGTGCCTGCCTCTCTGCGACTTGCACATGGATTCCCCTTGATTCCTAGAGATGGTTTCTAAAAACACGGTGTGCCTTGTGGCAGGAGCTGGAGCTGGCGGTGAGCAGAAGGGGAGCTGCCAGCCTTCTGCTGCATTTCCAGGGAGGTGAAGAGCTGGAGCTGCACCGGCGTTTACACAGCGCTGGAGGGATGCTCCCTGGGCGGCTGTGGGAGCTCCCAGGCACAGCGGTTTATCACACCCAGGCCAGAGACAGGCTGAGCAGCACGTGGAGGTACTGGGCTGTGTGCCAGAGGTCCTCTGACCCCCAGCTCAGGCTTAGCTACTTGACTGCTGTGGTGGTGCCAGCAAAGGCGAACTTCCTGGGGCAAAGGCAGAGCCTTGCTTATGCACAGTGAGGTGGTCTGTCCCATTCGTCCGGTGGCTTTATCTCCCCTGGTTCAGATGCCCAAGGCTTACATTCAGCTGGGCAAGCTAGGAGTTAGTCCTTGGCCTCTTGCTAACGTGGTGCCATTAACATTATTTATATGTGCCTCCTATGCTGCAGCAAGCTGATCGAGCAGCACTCAGTGAGATCTGGTTACCTTTGTGTGAAGGATTAGCAGAGCAATAATTATTTTCCTCTCTCATCCTTAGCAGGTAATAGGCAGCTTCCCAGCAGACTCCCTGCTAGTGCTCCCCAGCAGCTATGCCAGTTGCCTCTGTGCTGGTGCCACATCTCAGACAAGGTGGCTATGTCCTGCAGGGCCTGGTGGCTGCCCAGGTAGAGAGTTGGTGGTCCCTGCCTCCTGTACAGAGAAGCCAGTCAATGCGTGTGGTGCTGAAGGATTGTGCTCTCCACTCTGGGTGATGCCCTCCCTGTGCTGGGGACACTGCAGCGCTCAGATCACATTTGACTCGTCAGTGCTGGGTGTGCAGCCTTGCAGGCAGCGAGCTGACATTGTGTGAAGTGTCTCCCTCTGAGGCAAATTGTCCCCAGATCGACTCGTGCAAGCATTTGCCTTATGCTGTCTTGCGCTTTGTGCTCTGTTCTCCTAAGGATGTTGCCTGCCTGAAGTCTTCTGCTGTGAGCAGGGATAAGGGAGGTTACCTGGAAAATTCCTTTAGTGGATAAAAGATGCTACACCCAAATGAAGAGTTTTGTCTAGTGACCTGCAGCACAGTTCTGTGTGCATAAATAAGATCTGGTTTTAGTATGTCCCTTGTGGCATTCAGTGCAGCCTCCTGATGCTGGCAGGTGCGGTCTCTCCAGTGTCCTTGCCTCTCCCACGTTGAACTCTTCAAGGCAGACCTGGGCTCTGAGGTGAACTGGAAGAGATGCCTTTATCCGTGTCTCCTTTATGGTGGAATCAGCTCTCCCCAGCTGAAAGGCTCCACTCTCCCCAGCAATGCAGCCATATTCTGCCAGCACAGAAAACTGGTGGGCTGGGTTCAGGAACCTGACAATAGGAAGCAGCAGCTGGTATTTAGCACCATGAGAGCTCAGTGCTGTTCTAGGCACCAGCCTGTGCACAGCTTCCTCCCCTCTGGGCATAGACAGCCCATCTTCCTCCTTCATGCTGCACTTACCCATGCTGGGCTGCACGGATTGCCCCAGCTCCTCCTCTTCCAGGCTGCCCTGAAGCAGAGACCAGCCTTCCCCCAGCCAGGGGCAGATGGGCTCTGCTCCGCTCTGCTGCAGCTGCAGCACCGAGGGATCTGCCCTGCTTCCAGGTGGGCGCCTGTCTGTGCTCTGCTCTCGCCTTGCTCCTGTCCCTGCCATGCCCACATGCTCCCGTGCAGCACCCAATCCATACAGCAATTTCCGTGGTGGCAGGCAGCCCATGAGCCAGAATTAGAATAGATGCCTTTTCCAATCGAAAAGCTGACTGATACAGAAAGGGGCCAGTCCAGCATAAATCAGGTGCAATGAGGAGAGTCTGTAGACAGCAGCACCTCGCTGTGACTGCACCAATCTACCTTTTATTAGATAAAGACTGCAGACAGTCAGCAGCAACTTCTGGCTGCAATTGTTCAACTACTATTGAATCCCTTCCTGCCCATTCAGGCTGGCAGTAAGTAGCACACATGAGCGGGGAGCTGAGCTGATTTTCAGTCCCTGTTCCTACCCTCCCTGCTCCAGGTTGTCTGGGCACAGCTGCTGCTTGGGTTCATCTCTGGCACTGGGGCCCTGGAGGGTCCCATGAAGTGGCCGTGTTAATGGGATCATAATGGGTTATGCTGTGCCGGCTGAGCCCCCGAAACTGCAGAGTTTGAGCAGATGGGGAGGACGATGCTGGCTTGGCTGGGAGGCTTGGAAGGAGCTCTGCCTGCTCCTCAATAGGTGACTGCGGGTCCTAGGGTCCTCCGGCTGAGGCAGGATCCTTCACCCACAGCTCTTGGGTTTGGAAGCAGTGAACTGTCTACTCTGGTCTCCATGTCAGCAACTGATTTTTATCCTTATTCCTGCTCTGTGCCACTCTTTGAGGGTCTTCTAGAAGGTTTTTCCCTCTCTCTACTCCTACTGCATTGTCTGTCAGCACAGCTCAAGCACCAGCGTGCTGCTACTCCTGTGCTGGGCTCGCCGTGCGCTGGGGAGATGCTGGGCTGCCCTGGGGGACCTGGCCAAGGGGCACATGCTGGAGCAGAGCTGGCTGCCCCTGGCTGCTCGGGTTGCTGCAGTGCAGGGGAGCCTCAGGCTGGCTCCCTGCTCCCCTGTGATGGAGAGGACGGAGGCCCCATCCCCTCTTGGGAAGGCTGCTGGTGTTGGTACAAACAGCCGCTGATTGTCTTGAGCACGGGGGAGCTCCTGGCAAGTCCTGCTGGCTGTGCTGTGGGAGTGACTTGGACGTGGGTTTACTTGTTCCCTGCAGACAACACGGCTGCGGTGCATACGCAGAGAGTGGGCTTCAATCGCCAGGAGCAGGATGTGTACTTGCTCCCCATTTTGGTGGTGGACAGTGGCCCCCCCGCCCTCAGCAGCACAGGGACTCTGACCATCCGCATCTGTGGCTGTGACAGCAGCGGGGCCATCCAGTCCTGCAACAGCACAGCCTACGTTGTGTCAGCTACGCTGAGCCCCGGGGCCCTCATCGCACTGCTGGTGTGCATCCTCATCCTGGTTGGTGAGTGCCTGCCTGTCCCCAGCCTCCTCCTGCTCTGTCCATTCCCTTTCCATCCAGCATCACACAATGAGCACAGGCCACAGGCATGGTGCAGGCTCCTCTGCTCGCTGTCTCCTTGCTGGTAGCTGCAGCGCAGGGACAGGAAGCCTGCCCCTGTCAGCGAGTGAACATCGGGAAGCTCCGGCGTGCACTGGGCTTGGTGGCACCAACGCAGGGCTCCCTGCGCACAGCTGCTTGCTGCTGCCCCGCGGGCACCGGAGGGCTGCCAGCACTGCCGTGCTGTGCCACAGCAGGTGTCCCGCAGCGCATGGGCTGCGTGTGTGTCCCAAGGGGGTGGCCAGTGGCGGCCCGTGAGGGATGCGTGGTTGTGCTCTTGCCTCGGATGGCTGGGTCAGTGTTAGAGTGGGCATGAGTGTGCGGCAGGAGGTGCACGCAAACCAGAGCATTGCCCACATAGGGCCCTGCACCCTGTGAAAGCTGCTGGCTGCCACTGACATGGAGGCACAAGCTTGTGCTGGGCCACCACGGGATGGCATAAAGGTGCAGAGAAGCGTGGGCTTGTGTGCACATGGGAAGGGGCTCTGAGAGGGGTGTTGCATTGTCCTCAGGCTTAGCATAGGGCACCTGATGGACGCTGCTGCTGAAAGCCCTCCGGCACCAGTGCTGCTCTCAGCTGACTCCTGGCTGTCCAGACAGCCACTGGCTCGTGGAAGCCAGCTCATTGCTCAGTGAAGCCTCCTCTCCTTGGCATATCTGTGCTCCCAGCCTCCTGCTGTGTCTCCATTTAGAAAGCCCTTTCCCACAGGGTGCACTTTACACTGGTTTCATTTTCTGACGCAGCGCAAACAAATTTCTGCCTAATTGCCCAAACGAATAAAGTGCACATCGGTGCTTTAAAGGTGATGGGATGAATGGATGATGATCTAGGACACAGCTGCGGCTCGCTGCTCAGGCTCTGTGCCATCTGCTTCACATTCACCTTCCCAGCATTTAGCTGCTGTGATTCACGCACCCCCTTTTCCTACTCATCTTCTGCAGAATCCATCCGTTTGTCTGTCCAGCCATGTGTCCATCCATCTCTCCCTCCTGTCTCAGTGGTTACGCTGCATGGGGAAGGAAGCTCCTGGTCCACACTGGAGCCAGGGCAAACCACCCCGAGCTAGTGAGACAGCACATGCTACTTGATGAGCCTGGCTGGCAGGAGACAGTGCTCTGTGCCCGCCAGCTGTGTGCACAAGCCCCTGTGCCCATCTGACCATCTCTTCCTTTCCCAGTGCTGATCCTTCTGATCCTCACACTGAAGCGACACCACAAAAGCCACCTGACATCTGAGGATGATGAGGACATGCGGGACAATGTCATCAAATACAACGATGAAGGGGGTGGTGAGCAGGACACAGAAGCCTATGACATGTCAGCCCTGCGCAGCCTCTACGACTTCAGTGAGATCAAAGGTGGTGACGGAGGGGGGATAGCAGGAGAGGGGGGCCTGAGTGGAAACCCGGCCTCCGAGCTCCATTCCCTCCCACAGTGGGTGCAGAGCCCGGATCTGGACTTCTCGGTGTTCAGAGACTATATCTGCAGGAAGGTGGAGCAGGCGGACGAGGACCAATCTGTGCCGCCCTACGACTCATTCCAGACCTACGCCTTCGAGGGCTCAGACTCCCCCGTGCCCTCACTGAGCTCCATCAACACATGCTCCAGCAGCTCGGAGCAGGACTTCTCCTACCTGGGGGGCTGGGGGCCACGTTTCCGGCAGCTGGCAGCTCTGTACGCGGGGCGCAGGGGCGAGGAGGACACCGACGCCTCGTAGCCACCCCACCACCCCCTGTGAGGTGCCGGCAGCTCCTGGACCAGGCTCCATGCCAGGAGGGCTCAGCGTGTGCCTCCGGACCCGTGGTGCCAAGGGGATGCAGGGATGGTTGATGGGCTCCTCAACACCTGCCTCCTGTGCATGACACCTCCACACAAGAGGCTGGCGTTCCCAAAGGAGCCACTGTGGCAACAGCATCTCCTTAATACTGGTCTCCGTTAAAGCACTCCGCATTAGTTTCAGAAAGAGAAAATCTAATTCAGGAGAGTTTGCAGAGGGTTTCTGCCCCACAAATTATCATTTAAATTGATCTGTTCAGTGAGCCCTTTCCAGGAGAGGAAGAGCAAACTGGGAGCCTTTTGTTGTCTAAATTGTTTTTGTCATTTGAGTCAGAGCATTTGAAGTGCTTTGATTTCTCGAAGAGCTTTCCTTGCAGAGGGAAAGAAGCTTTTAGCTTCTCTTCAGCTTTTCCCCACAAGTTCCCTCACTCTTTGGAGTCCTGCTCTCTGTGCATGGGCTCCTCGGCAGCACCTGCCTGCTGGCAGAGGGTGGAGGCAGCGTGTGCTGGGGGTGCGTGTCCTGGATCTGGGCTCCAAGGTTATGTTCTGCACTAGAGCTCACTTCGAAACACACTTCACTTCTAAATGCGATTGCATCACCTCTCAGTTCTTAGACCTTTCTTGTGGTTATGAGACACTCGTGATTTGAAGGGGCTCTCTCCCTCCCTCCCTGCACAGCAGACATTGTCTGCAAGGTCCTGATGTGCTCCATGGCACTGGTGATGGACAGGGACATCCCCATCACCACCAACGCATAGGGGGTGCAGAGCAGCACTTACCCGATGGGCTCTGCAGCCCCTCAGCAGGCTGGGCCTGGTTCTGCAGGGCTCTCAGCTAGGCATCAGCTTCCTACCAAACTCCACGGGCTGCACAGGGCAGGGGCAGGACATAGGGGCACCCTGGCCTCCAGTGGTAGGGGAGCTGTGTCCTGGCTTGAGAACCATGCTGTAGGGTGTGAGAGAACCCCAGCTCCTGGTTTGGAGCAATAATTCCTGTTTACACCCAGCTGACAGCAAAGCATCACCACTGGTGACAGAAAAGCCATCCCCAGGACATGTGCACAAGGCCAGATCCTGCTGGTGCTGCTGCATGGCCGAGCTGGTTGCTGCAGGCTGGGCAGTGGGGCTGTGACACCACAGAGTGCCCGGTGTGTCCCCAGCCTGCCACACTGCCCTGCAGAAGCTGGTACAAGCCCCACGGCGGGGGCTGCCTTCACAAGCAGTTTATTTCAGGAGGCAGGTCAGGAGGAGGCCGGCGGGGATGTGCCATTGCTCCTCCGGCTCCACATGATGCTGGAGGAGAGCACTCCCTGCCCTGCGCCTGTCCAGCCTGCAGACTCCCACCACGGCAAAGGGAGCAGCGCATTGAGCAGCACCCTGGGGCAGCTCTCGGCCGTGCTGGAGAGTGCAGCTCCTTATCTGTTCACACTGGGGAAAGAAATCAATTACATCATTGATAGGTAACTGATAAGGTCTCCCAGGCCTGACACCTCCTGCTCTTGTCATTGGGTTTGTCCTTTTAGTTTAGCCACAGAGAGTGTTTTCCCCTCCTTGGAGAAGGTTTAACTGTAAATGTGCAGCATGTTCATTTTGTTCATTTTTTACTGTGTTTTGTTTCCTGGCTGCTGGTGTTGGTCCCTTGGCTGCAGCGCGAGACCCGAGACCCGACAGCAGAGAGGGGCAGGACGCATCTTTGCCATGGCTCCTGCCTGCTGCCCCCATGTCTGCCCACACCGGAGCTGCAGCTTGGCTTTCATGCTGGGACCAGGAGCTGCTGCTTCTCAGGATCTCTCCGCTCCCCCCCAAAGGCAGCAGCAGGTGCCTGCTGCTGGCACCCATGCCCTGGGTGCTGCTGGTTCACTGTGATGATGCTGAGGAGGCAGCAGGGCCGAGAGGCTGCTTCACACTGGCTCTGGCTGCACTGCCCCGGAGCAGGAGACTGGAGAAAGCCCTCTCTTTCCTCAGGAATGTGTTTGTTTTCCCTCCAGGCTGAAGAGCTGTGCCCGAGCCCCTCCAGAGCTGGCCCTTCCTCTAGCAAAAGTGTTGTGCAATAGCAAGACTCTGTCCGTAGGAGATGGGGTCTGACAGGGTACGTGTTTTAGCAACCCTCCCAGCAGGTTACTCCCCATCCCAACCAGGCAGTCCATGCACGTGCACCTGCAGTTTCATTTCTGTTCCCATATGAATCGGAGGAGTGCGGTGCCCTGCGCTCCCTGCGCCCCGCATGCAGCACGGGGAGCTGGTGGCTGTCAGGGCAGCTGATGAAATCACTTCGGATTTCTTTCTCTACCCAGATCAAATTAGAAGGTTCATTTCCTCACCCTTGTTATTTTTTTCAAGGTCTTTGTGGGACCTGGAAATAAATTATTCCTTGTCGTCTAGCCTGAGTCTTATTGCCTCATTTTGTCTTTTTTTTTGTTTCTTCATGTTGCACTGCCAACGTGGTCCCACAGAGCCATCCAGAGGGACAGGGCTGGCTGCTCCGCCAGCACATTCCCACTGGCACAATGCTGTTTCTCTGGCTTCTTCCCATTTTTCACTGAAATGCTCATCAGAAAAAGCATCTCCAAAAGCAGGGTCAGTTTTTCTGTCTGAATTTGAAGTAAATGATAAGAAAAAAAAATGCCCTTGGCTTTCTCCATCTCTTCAGAAGGAGAAAGTTAAGTTGTGCTTTGAGTGGCACAAGGTGCTGCATATGTGCTTCAGGCTGGCCGTGCTGGCTGCTGCCCTGGCTACTCGCAGGACCAGGGTCTAAGCTATTGCAGCCAGTCCCAGAAGCTGGGAGGGGGTTAGCATCCTTCATCCTGCAGAACAGCAGCAGACAGAACAAGAGGCAACCTGCACACCAAATGACAAGGTCTGATGAAGTGTCCTCACAATCTTCCTTTTTTGGCCAACAGAGTTCCTTAATGTTCTTTAAAAAGTGCATCTTTAGTGCTGTCTTGAAGTCATGGACAGCCTCGTAGCTCATCAGCTGACCGCTCACAAGCACTCATTCTGGTCATCTTCCCAGCTTCAGTTCAGCTGAGCACTGTCAGTGGGTTTGGTTACCATGGCCTGTTCTCATGTTGGTAATAGTGTGAATTATGGCAATGTTCAATTACTGGCTGCAACAAAACAACCTCCTTCATACTCAGTTTTAATAGTGAAATGATGCAAATAAATGGCACTCTAGCCTGACCACAGATAAATCAATTGCTGGTGGTTTTCTTGAAGGCAAGGGACTGGGGAACGATCCACATGCTAATGTACATCAACCTCCCTGGCCCAGGCCCGCGGCTGCGCATGCCCTGGCACTGTCAGTGGGGACAGCACGCTGTGGAGGGCACGTGCAGCACAGAGAGGGACCTGCAGTAAACTCAGGGGGGCATCGGTGTAGGTCAGGAGATAGCACAGGCAGAATTTAAACCTCTCCATAAAGCAACAGTCACTGAAGAGGCATCTTGCAGCCCTTGCTACAAAACAGACTTACTGGTCCCTGAGGTCTTTGAGCATTTCCATATCCTTCACCATCCCTGTGCCTCCACTCCATCCTCTCCCATGACTATTCACTAAATTTTACAGAAGAAGCATCTGGTAACCTTTGACAGCAGCAGTTAGAGGGATGCTACAACAGAAGAGAGAAGTCTTGAGGTTGGAGGGTTTCCAGACAGGCAAGGTGAGCTGCCAGACCCCAGCGCACGCAGACTCTTTGCACAGTTGCAGCGAGTGCCTCTATAGCTGCCAGCCAGGAGGAGGCCTTTTTGAGAGCATCACTGTTAACTTCCCTGCAGAGCACGTGTGTCCGCAGCGCACTAACTGCTGTATGCTTCAGGGGCTGCTGTTTGCAGGGAGATGGTGATGGTTGCTATGGGTTTGCATCCCAGGTTTTCAGGCTCTTGGCAACAAGAATTCTAACGTTCCAGCTGCAGCCAGCACAGAGGTGTGCTGTCTTTAAATCCTGCTGTCCATCTTCAGGCACCCATATAAGCAGCCTTAGTTATCTTTGGGCTGAGGGGTTGAGGTGGAATGGATTGTCCTAGGAATTCCCCACTGGCAGAGGAAGTGCCTGCGGTTAGTGTGCTCCTAACAAAGGAGGTAACAAGTGCCTAGCATTAATGTGATGAGCCTGGGCCATTCAGAAAGGCTTGATGCTTGATACAGTGGGGGAATGGAGAGAGCTCAAAGCAACAAATTGCCAGCCAGAACCAGACCCTTAACTACAAAAGAGGAGGATTATTGAGAGCTCTGATTGCAGAAGCATCTGTGAAGATGTTTTAAGAGCTCCATGCCCCTCAACACAGCCCCTTTTGAGAAAATTTTTCTATAGCACTTTCTCTTCAGCAGAGGCACAGCAGCCCCTGGCTCCTTGCTGGGCAGGTTATCTCCTCCTTGCTTCTGCAGGAGAGGAAGCCAGTCCCGCTCTGTGGACTGGTGTCCAGTGCAGGGCTGTCCTGGGTCTGAGCTGGCTGGGCAGACCCAGGGGCTGCTCTGATCGTGAGCGTAGACTGAAGATTCTTCTTCCAGGTCAGTTTTCTCACACCAAAGACAGCCCAGGGGTGCCGCCCCACGGGCCAAGGGCTCCCAGCTCGTTAATGACACCCCATTTGTCTGCGTGCAGTGAGTCAGGGCGTGCACAGAACAGGCAATCGCTAGGCAGAGCAGACTCGGGTAGGAGCAAGTAGGTGCGTGTGGATGTGACTGCTGCATCCTCCGGTGATGGCAGTGGCTGAACCTGGCCATGCTGTGCCCCGGCCATGCTGGGCCCTGTGTGCTGACACCTGCAGCTCTGGTGTTCCTCTGCCTGAAGGAAGTCTGCTGCAGGTGGCTGCTTTGCCAGAGCAGAGCATGGCAGCCCCAGTGGGGCTGCGCTGTCAGTGTTTTTGCCAAAGAGCAGCTGCTGCCCGGGTGCCCTAGCTCCTTCACTGCTCTGCTTCCTTCCATAGGGCTCCTTCCACACGGGTCACCCCCTCAGCACCCACCCCAAGGCAGGACCTTTGCCACACACGATGCAGCCTGTGGCCGTCTGCTGGCAGAGGACGGTGGCATTTGCCACTATCACCCTCTGAACGAGTCCTGCAAGGTGAGTGCCCCTCTGCTAGGGGTGGCAGCTGGATGCTGCAGCTCCACTCCTGGCCCCAGCACAGAGATGCTGCAGCGGTCACCTCTAACGCTGTCACTCCACTCCATGGCAAGCTCCAGAAGGCAAAGTGTCCGAGCCACCTCCAGAGAGTTATTTACAAAAGATGGATGTGATCCACTGGGATTATTAAGGGGAAATGAAAAAAGGGCAGTGATATCTACACCCCCAGGAGAAAAATACATCTCTGGTAACTGAGTGCAAGTAAGGCTGTGTAAGCCTCCACCTCCTGTGCTCATCAGTAATATACTGCTCGGGAAGGTGATCGCTTCTCCCCATATCCTCTGAGGAAGCTGATCTGTCACTAGAAAGCTGACTCCTTTAACCACCCCTGCCACAGCTAATGTCACAGCTTCCTGCACCTTTTCATTTACCAAGCCCTTGAGCTTCCTTTAGGGTTGGTATCAGACTCTCACTGCTCAGCATATCTGAATTTTGCATTTCTGGTCGCTGTGCTCAGTCCAAAGACAGCAGCCGTGTCTTGTTAAGGGTTTCTTGCTGTGCCGCATGCTCCACTTTGTGCTCTCTCCTTGCTGTGGCTCCACTGGCTCCCAGCCCATCCCAGGAGTGTTTCCAGCATCCCGGAGGTGACCTAGGCTTGTGGTCTGCAACGGCAGGTATTCCACCACTCACTGGCAGGGACGGGATGGTTTCCAGGCAGCTGTCACAGCTACGTGTTGCCACAGCTGGAGAAGCTAGAGAGAAAGATCATTGAATGTTGCTTGGCCTTGGAGTCTTGCTCCTGGCTGCTCAGTCTGTGGGGCTGAAACCTGCCCCTGTCCTGTGCACACCCGAGGGCATGTGGTGGGGATGGGCACTGCTGCTGCCAGTGCTGCTCCCCGCTCAGGACCTGGTGCTGGGGCTCCCAGCAGCTCAGACAGCCCTGGGCTTGTTGCCAGCCTCGTGAACATGGATTTAGTGACTGTTCTTCAAATCCTTAGGGAAAGACCTTGGCCTTCGCAAAGCTGGATCCAGCACAGGTGGGCAGACTGGGAAGCAGTTGGGATACGTGGCTATCGCACCAATGCAGCCAAGCAAAGCCAGGGCCCCTGTACAGTAACTGCACAGCCCCAGCTTTACAAAGGGCCTCAGTCCCACTGCCTTTGCCACTGCCCCCACCAAGGCTGGAACAGAGGTGTGGGGAATCAGCATCTGGTGTTTAATGTCATGATGCTGGGCAGCAAGAAAGGATGGAGATGGCAGTGGGAGCATTTGCCTCTCTGGTGCACGCTGCCCACCACCACTTCTGGTGTGTCCACCACGGGTAATTGGGATGCCAGCGGCTGTTCAGGCATCCCTCATCTGCTGCCAGCCACAGTCAGTGTTTGTGTCTCGGGGATTGTTAACTGCCCTGCCCAGCTACACTGCGGTTTTATGGACATGCATTTTTCATCTGTCTCCATTGCTGCTGTAGAGGAGCTGCTCAGGTGAGCATGAGTTAGTCCAGCTGCTCCTGGGGGGAGCAGGCACCGGCCAGTTCTAAGCAGAATGCATCCCCTTAGCTAGTGTTTTAATCGTGGTAACTGGAGAAGTTTTAATCCCTCTTCTGCCAGGGGAAGCACGCACTGCTAACAGAGACCAGGCACCCTGGCTCAGCCCGGCTGAGCCAGCCCGCAGCAGCTTCCTCCGCGGTCACAAGTCACTCACCTCTAGCCAGGAACCAGGCAGCTGTTGAAATCCCTTCACATTGCACGCAAATTAGGCACTAAAAACGCTCATTACAGCCAACATGACACGCCTTCATTATTCCAGAATAATTGTCTGAGAGGCTCAGCTCGCAGCACAAGCTTCACTTGGTGCAGAAATGTGATAAAAAGAAAACAGGAAGTGCAATCAATGCTTGTAATCCTTTTAAATAAAAAGGTACTTGCTAGTAGCTGCCAGCATCTTTAAAAAGCTGTGATTTCCCTGGAGAGAGCCCTTATCAGCTATGACTGCATATCATTCTGGCTGGCTGTCAATCCATCAGACTTCAGTGCCACTGACATTAAGAAGCCAGGCGTTAAGATTATCACATTTAGCCATAATGTAGCACAGATTGTGTTGACATTTGGGAAGTATTCCACCACAGGAGCCATTTGACTTCAAATGCTTTGAGATACTGGGTGGAGGGAGCGTGCTCTACCTGCAGGGTCCTGGGCAGCCCCTGCGCCCTGCGGTGGGCAGGAGGAGTGAGGGCACAGCCGATGACCATGAGCGGGAGAGATGCTGGTGCCAGTGGTGCTGCTCCATGGCCTCAGCCCGCACGCGCAGTCAGGGCAT